TCAAGCAATCATGAGAGGAGTGATACGGGCTCGGGTTGTGAGCTGGTATAATATAGAATCATACAGAATCGATTCCCAAAAATCATTCAAACATGTCATGTCTGTGTGTGTATCCGCGTCCGTGTGTCGGCAGAAATTACCCTGCCTTGGCATAGGCCTTCTCCAACAAGGGAACCCAGAGTTGCCCCTCCTGGCAATCGTGCCAAAGATGAAGGCGGGGTGATGGAATTTGCCCAAAAATCCAACTGATGCGTATGTTGCACCGTTGCAGATTAATGACACATGGGTAGTGGCCAACATCTGCTAAAAGCGCACATCAAAGACCGGTGGTACAAAGAAACTCATATCATAGAATGAACCACCACCGTTACAGTAGATGATGTTGTGTGGGTTGGGTTTCACAGAAGCTTCTGCCTGAGTTGTGGAAAAACAGTACACTGCTTCTGGGACGAAACGGATGGTTGATGATGGGTAGACTCCCTTGTTCCGCGAGCTCCATTGTTCTCATGTTCTCATCATAGGAAATCGATACTGCTGCCACACGTACCACTGATGTGAAAGAGAATCATCTACCATCGAGACTATGGACCACTACGCTTTCGTGAGATCCTCTCACTTGGATTGTTTTTTTTTTGAATCCAGAAAAACAATACAAATTATCTTCCCAGAATCTTCCCCAGAAGGAGAGTCACCCGTTGGGAAAAGAGACATCACCCGATCCTCAAAAAATAGCGCCTCACCCACCCTGTCACCCACTCTTGCCTTACCGCGACTGAAGGCTAAGTGGCTGCCATCGGCGCGACGCTGCTCAGCCACGCAGGGCAGCTGATCATCCACCTCATGTCAAGACATGTACTGCAATTAAAAGATTGTTGAGTCACACTATACAGTGTAGTACAGAGGCTTTACAATCCAAACGGATATTACCTTTTTCTCAATCAACAGTCACAATATGTCACAATGAACAAGTGTATTCATCACCCCAATGGATAAAATCCGGGACACATCCACTTCGATTGTTGGGAGGCATGTTTTTTTTTGGGCAGTCTTCAACGACTACTGCAAACCTGTTGCTCTACACTGTGTTCTTTGATGTTTGTGTGTTTAGTTTAGTTTGGTGTTTGCTTGAAGACTTCCACTCTTCAAGATGGTGTCCATCCAGTTTTCATGATTCGACGATCCAATCCCACGGAATCAGGATGGAATCAGGATCAATCATCGAATCAAATCATGGCAGTTGGAGGTCGGTGCTTCTTCTCAGCATGGCATCAACCAGCCTCGATCATTGGATAAACATTCAGCATGGCAGTCTATCGGTCCATGACCATGCGGCCAGCCATGGGTGGAACGTTATGCCGAGGTTTGGGGCATCAGCGATCTCTGGTCTCCAAGGGGTGGACCTGTCAGGTGCTTTCAACAGCAGCCTGTGGACCTATTGGACTAGTTATACCGTCCATGGGTGGCCACCTCCTGGCAAGAACAAATACGGTCCAACTTGACTCTACCTGAAAACCCACTCATTCCACCTGTACCAGGACCGACACCCAGAGGTGCCTCTAAATAGCCAGAGGTTAAGGGGTGTCCAAAAACCACCTGTTGGAAGGTCCTGGTAGTGAAGTGTTGGGGTGAGAGCCGCTAGCGTACGCTGCACCACGCTGGCGCGTCCCCAAGGTACGGTTGCTTTGACCAAGGCACAGTGACTTCACACCAGCGGCCATCCAGAAAGAGTTGAACCGTGTAGCAGCCATCACGTCTGGTCTCCGTCTGGCGGGAATTCTGTTGGCAAAGGTAGTGCCACATGCCCACATGCTAAATTGTAGTATCACTGACAGTAGTAGCGCTTAGCCTGACCTGCAGCCTTCAACCTTCACTGTTGGAAACACCATGAAAAACCATCTTTGGGTTCACCAGCCGCTTGCTTCACCCCGTCCGAAAACCAATCCCACACCGCTCGCTCAGAAAACGATCATCACGGCGCCTGGCCCCGGAAGAGCCGCAAGATGAGATCCGGGCGTTGGGCCACCACGGCTAAGGCGGAGAGGAACCAGCCTGGGAGACCGAGACGGGTGCGAGGCCGAAGGATCGTCTTCGGTGGCGGACAGGCGATCGGAGGCGGAGGACACCGCTGGGTCTAAAGCAAAGGTGTTGGTGTGTTGTGGGGTGACATGAATCTTGGATCCTCTTAGTGGTAACAGTAAACTATCTCGAAGGTTAGTAATGGTTATCGTATGTGTAATTAGTGGCAAACTATGTACACTTTTTTTTTTCGCATTCGGGAAAATATATACAGCAAAAACACGACGGGAAAGCATCCGGTTTGACGGTTTGGTTGGGAATGTCTGGGATACCTTGTTTCTTTGCTCAGGAGACACGATCCCCACCCAGTCTTGATTAAAGAGATGTTTCCTGTGACTCCCAATCTATTACCGGGCGTCTGCCTCTCGTGGGCTTCGCTATTTCCTCAACTCCTCAAATCCCTCCGTCGAGCCATGAAGACTAGCTGCAGTCGCCCACCGCACCCTGGAGCAAGCAGGGCGGGAGGAACGAATGGACCAAGGGATGGATATGGACATTCTGAGTCTTTGCTTTTCTAAATGAACAAACTACGCACAGAAAAAGAACACAACGTCATGTGCACTTAAGAGGTTTTGAAAGCCTTTGATGTCTTTCCAAGTCTGCAGGGTCCTCCCTTGAGACAAAGTTGAGGGAGACATCGTTTTTCCCGGATTGAGAGGGGCTTCCACATTATATTTGGCATGTAAATTAAATGGATAGGTCTGGTTATGCCTCCAGGGTTGCTTTGTGGAACACGGGCGCCCGGCAGATGTCCATTGAGTCAATCTATTGTGCCACACACCACGTGCGGACGATCCACTCCCGCCCCTCCAAGCCCTTTCACATAGACATAGGTGCCCGCGGGATAAATAGATACAAGAACTATGAACAAAGGTTGTGGGATTTTTGGAATAAACAGAGAAGCATATGAATCCGTATATTGTGCCCAAGGTTTTGGGATTTGGGGACCCCCCCTTTTTTGTATGGCTCCAGCAAAGAGGCTCACCCCAGGCATTCATTGGAATTGACTCTTCGCCGATACCGATGATCGTGACATCAGGAGACCCTGTGACATCAGGAGACCCTGTGCAAGAACCAGCTCGCAGAGAAACCGATGGAGACCCCATCTCATCGATCGGTCCCAACGCCGAATCAGCCTGCAGTAAGTCATCTGCCATAAATCCGTGGTCCCTCACCAGCACAAAGTCTTCCTTACTTGGGCCCAAACTGCATGTGCGCAATACTTGCGCCGTTTGGTGTTTCAAACGAGCACTGCACCATTGTGAGTTGGCCACCATTTAAGGCACCTGCAAAGACGAACCAGTGAATCCGGTCATGAGATCGGCACTGAAACACTGCCCCTCCGCCACTACTGCGGTCCGTCACTGCCCCAGTCGTCACCGACGGTGGCTCGAATTCAGAGGGGTCTGCGGGTGAAAGGTGGCACCGTCCCCCTCATGTGACTGGTGGTGATCACTGCCGATTCTCGTGGCCCCCTCACACGAGTCCGGCGCAAGTCGTCGCGCACGCGACTGGATTGGAGTGATTTGGATGGCACTCAAGGTTGGAGCCATGCCATGCCATGGTTACTAAAACTGGTTTGGGGGATCCGGTGTTTGTGGTGTCGCTTTTGGCTTGAGCGCTGCATTTGATGCCAAAATCAATTGAGTTCCCATGTTTGTCAACTGATCGGTGTTTGTGGCTATTAACTGTTTTGATAGATAATTCGACTTGTGTCACTACCTGATCGCTGCTTGAAGTCATACTATAAGCCAACCCTGAAGGTCTTACAACATCAACACATCAAACAGGTTCAGAGTTTCAAATCCAGTGTTTTCCTGATATGTCTTGAATATCATGATGTTGACATGATGTGAACATTGCTTTTCAATGTTTGAATTATATACTGAAACCGCTTATTCTTTGGTCCTGCAGGTGCTCCACATTGCCCAACCACGCGTTCACCATGTCAGCCAAGCATCAAATCGTTGCCACCAAACTTTGCTCGAGAGCTTTTCCAAATGGGAGACCCACCTGGCAGTACCCTGCTGTGTCTGGGTGTATATGCTACTCTTGCTAGAAGTACTACAGTACTACCCATGCTAGAGAAGGTCTGAACAGCTGACAAGTGGCTCAAAGGACAGTTTTCTGTCACACAACTTGTGACGCCAGGTCCAATGAAACCTTTGGACGTTTGCCAGGCACACCTTCCAATTTGCAAGCAAAAAATGATGTGATTCCTGGACAAACATGAAGTACCACGGTCTTCTCATCTTTGTGTTTCCTATAAGATATACTGTAACACACTCATATTTCCTAGCAAAATCATTCTAGATGGGTTCTAGTTCCATACCGCGTCTTCAATGACGTCTCCTCCGCCCGGCCTGAAGAATGAGCAGCGCTGCCTCCCATGCGGGTTCGGATCAGCAAAGCAATGTGTTTGATGCATAAAGGTGGACCGATCCTCCAAAGGCAAGCTCGAATTCCGTAGAAACATCATGAAACATCTTATCAGATCTTCAGTCAACCTGTCATTGTCATTGCCGATATTCACAGCCTCACAAGCATCAATAAAACAAGAATATGGCACTGTCATTGTGAATATCTAAGCTTCATCCCCTCGTGCATCGTGAACACCCCAACCCACCTGCCACAATGCCAAAAGCGTCCGCGCCCGGAAGCGTCTTTAGCGCCTGGCGTGCTGGAGATGTTTACCTGTGCCTTCTGGCTGTTGATGCAGACCCAGGAGACCCCAAGAACAAACTGCAAATTGCCATATGGAAAGCTGCTCAGACCTCGGATGCCACCTTTTAGGAAGGCAATCTCATGGAAAGTTCTAGATCAAAACACGTTTGGAAACTTCGAGGTGTCTGACAACAAGTCCCCCATGCGACTGCCCTGCGTCTCATGCTGCGACATCATTCAGCTTTTTGTCCGTCTGCGACACTGAGCTCCACTTCCTCCCAGCCCTGCATCTTCACCTGCTCCTGAGAGACCATGAGCAGATTTTTGTAGATTTTGATTTTGGAGGTGCACCACATGCGAGGAGGCTACATGTTTGGGTCATCTAAAATCGAAGGGTGGAGGTTCAGGTACTCCTGGAAGGAAGTTGCACTGCACATGGAAGCAATGTGGTAATGTACATCTATGGGGATGGGGATGGTTCGAGGATTTTGTCAATATGTCTCAGCAAAGAACATTCAAATGAGCTCCCTAATGTAGACTCTTGATTAATACACCCCCCCCCTTTGAATTGAAAATCCTCTTCAAAGGGGTGGTTTATTCATCAAGAGTCTACACTAGCCAGTTGATCAAGTATTGGGTGGCTTGTTGGACCTCAAGTGGGTCGTCTCATGGAAAACGGTCGAAGGGTCCAGCGCTGGACCGTGGACCGTAGGATTCAAATGGTTTCCTGTGCTTCCGTTCCTTTCATGCTTCCCCCTTCAGCGTTTCATTCACAGCACCTGCCCGATGGGTTTCTGCATCGACGGTCGCTTTCATGTCAACCGATGGTCCCATCGGTTTCGTGTCGATCTCTGTGTCTCGCGTGTCGGGATCTGCCACCGAGCTCCAAAAAGCACAGCCCCCGCGATTTAGACGCGGGTGGATCGATTTCTGAAGTGGTTGGTGACCGGTTGGTTGTATTGTTTTTCCGTCTGTGCAAACAAATGATTAGTCTTTGGGTTTGAGCCCAGAACAATATGGTGGACGTGCTTGCTCAAAATGAGGCAATTACAAGTCGCTCCAGCAGCAAACTTCCGACGTTCGCTCATTTGCATCCATTCACTGGCAAAAAGTACGTTTTGGCAATCATGAACAAACCACAACAACTTGTCCAACAAGTCATCTTTCGAAGGTTGCAGGTTTCAGTTTCACCCTCGCGTCAGGGGCAACATTGTAGAAAGGGAGCAAGAACACCCTGACACTCAAAAATGCATATTACAACACCTCCGCATAGCTATGCATAGCCCACATTCCAATGCTGCTCCTGCAAGAACGTTGCAATGGCCTCCACACAGGCTGGAGCTGTGTCCTGGTAGAATGGCGAGGTTTCACGGACCAACGGACTACTACCACACCTACAGGCCTTATAGGTGTCTCACGCAAGGAAGGTGCCAACAACGACGGTCTCGCACCAACTCTCTTTCAGCCAGGTGCGTTTCGTCACATGCGTTTCTCGAGCGCAGAGTCCTCATCCAGGTGTAGATGATGACCTCCTGGAAGCTGTTGGCATCTTAGGCCCTTCACCGCTGCCTTGCCTCCACCGCCACGGAGCTGAAATCCGAGCGGCGGCGTTCCGAGTCTTCGGCGGCGTTCTGCGAGTTGGGTCGGTCTGCAGCGGTGAAGCGAATCACAGATCTTGAGAAGTCTTTCTTGCCCAAGAGTCCAGATAGTTTGCTGAAAAACATATTTTGAAGATCCAGTCCTACATCCTGATCACAACTGTAAGTTGTTCCCCGCTTAGCTGCTTTTTGGTTCCCCCATGGAACCAGAGTTGTGAGACGCCCTCAGTGGTCCAACTGGTGATCTTTACAGATGACCGGACCGTGGATATTGGAGGTTTGGGTGCACAAATTCCTCAGCAAGCATCAGCATAGCATATAATCTCATCAACTATGCGTGAATTGATTGTGGATTCTTGGAGAAATGATGGGGTCTGGTTGTCATAATCAGTGAACATATCTTCTGTCCCTAGCGTTAATTCAATATATTCAAGAAATCTTCCCCTAAGATTCCAATGTGGAACGATCACTACGTACCACGGGTTGAGGGTTCAAGGTAACATTGCTGCATCTCATCTCCTAGGTCCTAGTTTTAAATAGGCTTTGCTGGCTTTGCCATCAACCTCACCTGACAAAGTGCGCATCAAACCACACCTCTCACATAAAGCAAATTTCCATGATATCTGATAGCTCCACTGTCGAAAACGGGCTCAAATTCCGAAGATCCAAGAACCCAAACCGCCTAAGTTGCAGCAGTTCTCTTCCTTTTTCGAAGCCTTCGACACCACGGCGTTCACAGCCCTAGCGTTCTTGGCAAGTGGCGAGCTTCCCACCACAAATGATCTCTTGGCCAAGCATGGCCACCCTCGGGGTCTGCCTGGTCTCGTGTGTGCCGCGGGGTTCGTCTTGGTGGGAAGCAAGGCTTCGTTGTCACAGGGGATCGCTGAATGCCGATGAAGGTGTGACTTAGATGAACGATTCCAAGCAGCTACCTCCTATATATAGTAATGACGAGGCCTCCAGCAGAAGGCTTGGCACTGTGATGTGGCGCAAGAGCACTAAGACCTGACGGTCAGGTCTTAGGCAATGAATGTCTGACCACTGAAGGTAGATCTTGTCTACTTAACTCTGCCAGCGACAAATTTCAGCGTCATGTTTTGGATTTAGGAACTGCTAGAAACCGGAGATTCCATCATAACTTGTAGAACAAGAAGGAAGTTCGTTCTCAAGACGGAGACTCCACAAAAAAGGAAAAAACAACTCCGTAAACAAAAGACTGACTCCCAAGCCTGTTTCCCTAAAATGGACATGGGATCACTGAATCTGTTGAAGGGATGACTTGGAGGGCCCCGAAAACCTCCCATCGACGCCTGCTCCTCAGAGTAGTAGGACGGGCTTGGGCTGTTCAACCTCGGGAGCAGCCGCTGGGTGTGGGTCATGGGCCCCTGGGGGCCGACCAAAGGTTTTTGGGGGTTTGGACCAGCCAGGTCACAGCCAGCCACGGTGACTCTGGTCTTTCTGCCCCACAAACATGGCAATCCATGGCCATCGCCTCAGGCTTTCCCGTTTTTCCCACGGACTTAAACCCTTCTTTTATCAGCAAGTGGGCCAATGCCTGCAACTTAAGCTCAACGACCAGGCAAACCCTCCGTCCACGCCGGGTCCGTTCCGTCCACGGCGGTTCTCCAGCGAGTCCTCGTGTTCCGCACGGCACGGCGCGCCTCGTGTCATGCCTGAACCGCCAGGAGGACCCCAGGGCGTCATCCTCGAAGGTCTGCACGGCGCGCTCCACCAAGCGTCGGGCGCTCAAGGACGTGAGGCGCTGATCGCCCGGCAAGGCCTCCAAATCGGGCCGGGTGTCTGGTGGCGGGGATGGTTAAACATCAAGAATAACTTGGATTAATTGTGGATTGTGGATAGGCTGGTTGGCTCTTATCCACCAAAAGGCAACAAAACAACTCAAGACATTTTAAGTTTGAAACATTTTAAGCTTTTAAAACAAAACATCATAATTAAACCTCCAGTCATCTCCAGTCTGCCAATGGGGCCAAGAGGATTCTTTGATGAACAAACACAATTCTCAATTCACCAGCAATCGATGCTTCTCGATGGGATCATTTTTGTTGCGACGGCCACGCGCCTTGACCGTTCGCAGGCGAGCTTGAATGCCTTACGGAGCCAAGGTGGTGCCGAGGCTTATTGAACACAATCACCACCACTTGGGAAGTCTTGAGAACTTTGCGTGGATCGTTGATGTTTCTTGAAAGTGCCAGAAGGTGACTTCTTGATACAATGACACGGGAGTGACACCTCAATATGCATCAATCACCCATATGATCAGGGGCAAGAGTATGGCCAGAGTCCAACTATGGCAAGCCACGTTGCAATCTTCTAGCGAGCCATAGACCTCTGGCACATAGAAGAAATGAAGATGCAGGAAAAGCTGGCTGCTCAACTCATTCGCAAACAGTAGAAAAGGAACACTATGGAAGAGCACTTATAGTAAAATTGAAGTACTGTACATCTTTTATCTACAATGATATTGTATAATAACTGTGTATGATAGTGCAACTAAACAAATAAACCATCGGATTCCAGAATTCACTCCCGGTAAGTATTTCGGTGGGATAACACATTCCCATATATAATTAAAACATGCACACGCTCCACACACACTTCAAACGACTCGCCTTCTCAACCCCTCGAAGCTGCCGTGCCAAGAACTTCTCACGGCTGTGCAGGCCCTGGGAAACCGTGTCGTGTGGATGCAGCGACCCCCACAGATCACACTCGCGGTTTGATCCTCCAGATCTGATAGTGTGCTATATAACAACATAAATTTAAATAAGCAGCAAGCAACCTGTCACAGCTTATTGTGTGCAAAGGCAGGTGGAACAAGCTCCAACAGGAGCTTTAACCGGTACCAAAACCACATGCCACAGGAAGATTTGGGAGCATCCTTCTGGGGGCGCGCATGTTTTGAGGATCAGTGGCCAGTGGTCGAAAACCAGCGGAGCCTCCAACACCACTAGCAGGATCAGTAGACTAGTACACAGGCCCGGCCGATGTCCCTGAATCTGGTGTTCTTCAGAATCGTCGGTCCACTCCACTCCAACGCTGAGGCTTCTCACACCGCGCCTTGCGTAGATGCTGCGGACTGTGCCTCGCCGGCCGTGCAATGGGTCCCAGCATCTCCACGCAGCACAGCGCCACCAGCGCCTCCTCAGACCTCATCCGGGTGATGCTGTCCGGTGCCGGTGCGAGGTGCGAGGCTGGCAGATCCCGGCAGCGAAAACTGGAGGCGCGGCTGGCATCCAAGCATCTCAAAAGCATGCAGTCCACTATGCAGTCATATATACTGTATATCCAAAGCATCTGCATTGAAAATCAATGTCACAGCTAAGCCTAGTTGAAGGAATACGTTCCATGATGTTCTATGCACTTCAACAAAATTCAACCCATCTTCAACCTGAAAATAAGCACAAAGGGAGACCTCGGGATTGCCTCGTCGATCAAAATGAATCAAGGGATCTGCGATCTAAAACTGGCCAAGGAAGATCGTCTTCTTCCAAACCCTCCAAGTTACGTAGGCTATTCTTGCTGGGAGGCTGCCTATTTCATTTGGAACCATAACAGTCCATGAGACTATTGAAAGGATCCATGAATTGCACCCAACATCTCCAGTGCAGCAAGTGTGGGGCGCCCACACTTGATTCATTTGAAATAGTCTCAAGACAACTGCATTTGTCTTCAAAATCTTCAAAGCAAACAAACACACAACTCAACCCAACCCAACCCAACCCAACAAACACAACCATTTCCCGGCTCCTCCAAGGCTCCATCTGACCAGTTCAGGGTTTCTTCCGCCCGCACCGAACTCGACCGATCGACATCGACCGATGATCTGCTGCCGCGCGCGTTTCGCCTTCATCGGTGCTGCGCCGAGAAACGGATAGTGACTGGCGGCCATTAAGGTGGCAGCAGCTGCGCCCATGGAGTGGCCTGGTCGAACGAGAGGGTGGAGTGAAACGGGAGAGGCCTCGTCTCGTCAGTAGGATCAGGTTGCAAGATGTCGCAAGAACATCGTCCCAAAGTGGAAGAACCGACCGGTGAAGCACAGAACATGAACAAAAGAGACTACTGCACAGTTAACCTACCACGGGTGACTAGGGATCTGAGTTTTGACCCACAGCCATATCACAGGGGAATCTTTTTGAGGGGTCTTGACAGTTATTATAATGCGCGCGAGCCCTATGCCAAATAATGCCAGCTACCAGAGTTTCCATGCGGAATTGATGCCTGCAATGATCGGGTGTCACCCCAATGAGGGTAAGATTAGGTCATGTGCAGGAGTCTCTGGGATCTGCATTAGTCTCTGGGATCCGCAACCCCTGGAGTTGCTTTTGGTCATCAAGCAACATACCATATATTGAATGTGCGTGAGGTGTGCTCACGTTCTCACTGACACCACGGCCGCATTGCACTCATGTGGTTGCTACCAGAAATGTGACCTTGAAGCGGTTCGTGGGTATAAAGCTCGATGGATGCCCGACCCTTTCGACTCGTCTCTCTTCGATGGACGAGTTGACGAACGAGTCTTTCCTGGTGCCGGGGTCCCCCAACACGCGGAAACGCAGCGGGCCTAGTAGCCCAAAGCGGGTCCAGCTTAACCTGAAAGCTCAGAAATCCACACGAGGTCAACAAATTTGGGGAATCTCCCCTTTCGCAAACCAAGGAGCAAATGAGCTCATATATGAGCTCATGATGGGGGGTTCACCGTTTTCTTTTATGTTCTACCATTCCACAAATTGTTCAATCTCAATAAAACAAGCTGACATCATCTCTGCAAATCCTGCCAGCACTGTTCCAAAAATAAAGCACAGTACCCATGGAAGGCTTATTTTGTCTGACAATACTTCTACAGTACCATCTTTATACACCAAACAAACTGATGTATTGGAAAGCTGTCCGAACAGACCTTGTCACAGCCCACTAGTAAAGAAACGCACAACATATATCAAAATATAATCTAATAATGACCTTTTTCTACGCCTTGGATTGGGATGCTTGCCGGCGGGTAGCCGGTTGGAATAAGTTCACGTTTGGGAATCCTGGCTTTTCTCTTTTGATCCGGCTGACCAGTTCGCCCAAGCCACTCCTGGGCCACTTCTGCCGCATACCACGGCAGGTCCGTCGCCAAATAGCTGGCATCCAGCGACCTCATGTTGTCTTGGGCGTCTTGGGAGCCGTTGCTGCCCCGTTTGCGTGGCAAAATTTCGAGCAAACAATACCACAGCAAGGGAACGCCAGAGAACCACTGGAACCGTTTGAGCCCGTTTGGGGAGATTGATCTCCAAAGAAATCTATACCATGTGTAGAGGTGTGTAGAGGTCGTCTACCTCACTGATTGCTGATTGCAGGTGGCTGAAGAAACGAGACAACTGGGTGCGTAACCTGTTGTTCCCTGAATCGTCTGGTTGGTCACCGCGTGTCGTCAAGCAACCTCCTCAACTTGTAGCGGATTGGCAAGTGATGTGCCGTGGCGTCTAGACTATTCTTGGCAGCCCAGTTCAGCTAAATCAACTTTTCATATAACAAGCCTTCCTAAGGCTGTTTGCTCCAAGCTCACCAAACTCCTCCCCCTGAAAAGCTGCAAAAAACAAACATACCAGGTCAAGTGAGGACGAGATGAGCAGGAGTCCCCCCACGTTCATATTCCTGCATAACTCAAACCAAATGAACAACTCATCAAACACACACCTCTCTTCTTTTCTCTCATTTGAACTGTAGTACACTGTGGTGTCACCACTCCCATCCACTTCGCGAGTTCCTCGCGAGTTCCTCCGCGGCCGCGGCCTGTGCTGTGATCGTCCATGGCCGGGCCAGTCAGGTGCCACCACGAGGAAGCCCAGATCAGCCAGTGCAGGGGCCAACCTGGAAATCTGCAGAATCCCAACTCCAACTCTTCAAGTCTCCTAGTAGCTCCAAGAATGCTCCTAGTACGGCCAGAAGCGCCCCTAGTAGCGGCCTTGTTCCTAGTAGATCTAGTAGCGATGCCCTTTGCTCCTAGTAGCTTCTTGAAGTCTACATTAGAACTGGAAACCCAGCACCCAACGATTCACTCAAAATGCTCGGCTAGCCTATGAGTGCCAACCTATGTGTGTGTGTGTGTGACATTCCACTCGAAGCGAGGCAACAACAGTTCCCCCCCCACACCAGGCAGTGGCTTTTGAAGGTGTTCTGGTGGGGGTGGGAGTTTAGGATCACAAAATGGAAGGCAGTGCGGTGAAACTCCTGTCTCTCTGTCTTCCAGTTTTGGGTTTGGAGACCAACTGGAGAGCATTGGAGAGCCATCTGGTGTCCAAAAAGCCAACTGCTCCCCTCCCAAACATCTACAGCAAGTGAAAAACGCCAGGTTCGAATGATTCTACTGAGTGGACCACATGAAGCAGCCCAGGCGCTCCAAAAAGCTGTTGCTGTTGTCCAACCACCCATGCAGCGCCAAGAGCGGACGTCCGTGCAAGGAAGATGACACGCCACGGAGACCCCAGGCCTGTCACACCATGGAGCCAAGTGTATTCAACGAAGGATTCAACGAAGGATTCAACGTGATTCGGAGGATTGAAACCACCAAACTATATGTATATATATATACCAGGACCACGGAAGGGGTGGTTCTTGGATGGAAAATGCATAGTCAGGGGTATCCATAAACCACCCTTTCCGTGGTCCTGGTATATATCATATATCCATGTCAGTCCAAACGAGTGCTCAGTACATCCGAATTTGCTCAGAACATCCTGTCTTTTTTGTGGCTGTAATTGTGCTAGGTATTTCGATGTAGTAGTTTTGTACACACACACATATTCCGATTCCCACACCGGTTGAATCCGTATAGCTCCTGTGCAGCCAACGTGATCCCGTCGCGCAAGGGCAGGGAGAGCTCCAGACCTTTCGGGAGCCGAGAGTGGGCGAACCTGGAGAGACCTTATTAGCAAGGATGCTATGCTCGGTGGAGGCCATCACGGTCGTAGGTTGGAGGCCATCGCAAGTAGGTTCGGCACAAGAAGCTACGAAGGTAGCTATTTGCCTAGGTGTCAAAGCTTAGACTTGGACAGAATGTCGGACTGGTCAAGACTGGGCAGACCTGGACAGAGTATCACAGTCCATGGGGCGATAGACTGGACAGTCGGTCTGTCCTGGACAGACCTGGACAAATCACATCAGACTTGATCATTGTCTTCATGTGTCTTCCAGGTCTGAACCCAAGTGACTCCTTGATGAACAGACTAGTCTACTAGTCCAGTGATCAAACATCCAACTCCAGTGATCAAGTCCAGCGTAGTCATGTGGCTTGGTGGCTTAGTCGCATCATAGACTTGACTGGTCTATTTAGTAGTCGACTTTCCGTCTTTCCAAGGAATCTTTCGGGGGTCTCCGGGGTCTCCTTATTCTAATCCCTAGGGCTCCTGGCCCACCTCCTGAGAAGATGGTTGGGGTGGATTTGATGGGTCTAACAACCTTCTGAGATGGTTAGAGCCAAAGGGAATATACATCCAATACATTCCCGTCCCATGTTGCGTGTCTGGGACTGGAACCGAAGCTTCGATACGTCGATATTACATGGGAACAACATGTCTGCCGATTGACCACAAAGACCATAGTGAGCCACACGTCAGCTCACTTGGAAAGACTTGGAATATCTTTCTTGGAAAGACTTGGAATGTCTTTCCTGCATCCTGCAACAGGTCTGCCTTGGGCCGGCTATCCATGACTCTTGTCTCACACAAACTCCCGTCCAAAAGCTACAACTCCTAACATCTTCATAACATGTTGAAACATGTCCTAGTATCCTTCTCTCTAAAACCATCAGAAATTCCAGTCTTCTGTTTCTCCTTTTCTCGCTCTAACGCCAACCCGCCTCTGGCCAGGCCCACCATCACAAATGCAGTGAATGCACTCTTGGCAGTTGCAGTCTGTCCTAGTGAGCCCTGGCTGGCGCTCTCTGTTGTACCGCGGTGTCTGTGGAAAAAACAACTTTAGTGCAAACTTGTCAGGTCAGCACCATGACGATCGATTGCCTTCAGGCTCTACCATGACTGGTATACGCGGCATATGTATCAAGTAATTCACCAAAAGTATCAAACAAGTCTGGCAGCAGGAACATGTCATACCAAACCCTACAATACAGGCTAGATCCATGATCCTTGTGCTTAAGGAAGTCGGGTAGAAGAACTCATCAAGGACAAACGTTCAGGGACCCTGCTGAAAGTAGTTTGGATCTTGAGAGAGATGGGTAATCCTAAGGAAAAAAGAAGGGTAGGATCTGTGAGATAAGGGTGAGGTGAAGCACCCACACTTGTTGTTGAACACACCAGTTGTTCAGTTTGAAGGGAGGACTTTGCTTGAGGACCCCCTAACACATGAACCGAGAAACGATTCTGTGGAATGGAGATTCATAATTTGCCTGACGCGCTAATCCCAACTATAGTTTAACAGCTTTAATCATCTTTAATAGGCTTATTGTTCAACTGTGGAGCTGGGCAGTGTCCTTGTGCCAGGTGGTCTGTGAAACAGTTTGGCTCAACGGTTCCTGTGAGCCAAAACACTACGCCAACAAGAGCGACCGAGCGACGCTGGGACGGTGTCACAGGTCCATCGCGCCGGTGAACGGGTCAGGTCCATCCCAAGTATCGACCGCCTGGATAAGACAAGGCATCCAACCGGCGCGATGTGTCCTAGGATATGGGGCTATGGCCATGTGTATCTGAATGTGGAGCCTCTTCCACTACGATTGGCCTAGTGTGCGGGACGTTTTGGCAATGTAGTGGAGAGACCAAATCTCACGATGTGTATCTGGGCCAATGACGCAGCCACTCTCCGTGAACGGTTCTAATTGTGTTTTCACAAGAAATATGAATGGGACATCAAAAAGGATGCTTTTAACTGCCTGTAAACCTCACGTTACCTTCCCATGGGTGCTACCTTGGTGTGACAGTTCTGTATTGGATATCCAAAACACTACAGCATCTCATCTCTCTTCCGGACGGAACCTGGAACTATCTTCAACCACCATTCTCAAAAGGACGAATGTCCCACCCGCTTTTGCCCCGGGCCTTCCTTGCTGCGCATGGTGGATTGGTGTGCATCTAATCCACAGCGGCACTGCGGGATCTCCGACCAGCCCTGGTGCACAAGCCGCTCGATGCAATTGGAAAGAACCAGACGAACTCTAAGCATCAAGTATCTACATGTATCTATAAAGCTACTATATAATCATTGAAATAATCATGAAATAACTGAAAATAATTGAACATAATCACCATGACAAATCTCTGTACTTGCAATGACCATGATCTCTCTTTTATCGTTTCTCTTATCGGCGTGGATGTCCTCCTCCAAACAAGTAAATTCCCAATGATCTCCCTTCCCTTGGAGAAGACCAGGAAATAACACCTTTGGATGCTCTTTCAGCACCGGATTCCTTTCTGATCACCACCATCGTGACGGATAAATATGAAATTCCAGTCAAGTTTACGGTCAATGCCCAGTGAGGCGGTGGTTGGATTTGGGTAGCCGTGAGTCACTAACAGCCATGGTCCTGGTTGCCAAAACAGGGAGAAAAAGCTGGATATAGCTGGATGTTGATCCCATCTACTAGGTATCATAGAGTTTGGAAGAGCTGCTCTCTCAAACCGACCTAACGGAGCCAGTTTCTCTTTAGTTCAATCTGGCTTCCCGTCTTGGGTGGATGAGTTCCAACGCTGAAGGCAGGTAAGTCTCCTTGACCAGGGGGCAGTCTCCTGACCGGTGAGTCTCCTCATCGACAGGGCCAAACGGAACGGACGTGTGCGGCTGGTTTTCATACGCCCAAAAGACACCGATCTCGGCCGCACGTGGCTGGTTTTCCCGCCGCTGGTCTCGTCTCGGTGGTGGATGCTCGGATGGTCTCGGTGCCTCTTCCTTCTGTCCGTGGATCGATGTGGCTGCCTTAGTCTGAGCTGGAGCAGCTGGAGCAGCTCGGCGCCGCACAAGATGGCTATCATTTTCAGAGAGCTTCGGAGCTTTGGAGATCGGATGAGATCGGCGTGCAGAGGCAGCTCACTTCGATGAGATCGGCAGTGACTTCTATTCGATGATCAGAGTGGTTGGAGAGCGAACTATTCAGATCTGGTATGTGACAATCACAGTGAATTCCTAGTCCCATCTCTCTGAATGGGTCTTCCGATGTGCCTGAAGAAACACATATATGTTCCTAGTTCCTACTATCCCATGTCCTTCAAGCCTACAACTCTGCTTGGGGAGCAAAGGAGCAATCGACTTACTTTGACTTACATCCATCCAGAGTTAAAAGAATACTTCTTGTTGACCTGCGTGCGATACTTATGCCCAAGCCACTGCAAGAAAGGCCTCATCCACAAAGCTCCCCTGCGAGGTCTCGATCGCATGGCCTGCCGCCGCATAAACAGGCTCAGGACACATGGAGTCCAAGGGAATTGGGAAACATCAATGTGTCCGAAAGCTTGTGCCTCGGTGCCTCAGGAGAACCATCATTGCTGACACAGCTTTTGGATGCTTTTGTTGTTTTTTTTCAGCGTCTATTTCGCATCCATCCTCACCAGGTGTCCTCGGGGCGCGCTGGTTCTGCAACCCCTCTGAACATCTTTGAACCATCCAAACATGAAAAGATTTGTCTAAACTCACAACATTTCACATGTCTGGTCATCTTACATCATAATGTCTAATAGATTTCCGGATCAAGGTCTATGACATTTCCACATGAACACACCACCCTTCAGCTCTTAACCAAACTGCCTATTTACATCACCTGCCCGGACCACACCATACCGCACGTCTCCACGTTGCCGTCCAACCCGTTCACCTTCTGGAAGATGAGTCAGCGCGTCATCTCCACAAACTGGCAGAAGTGCGTGAACGTCTCCCAAAGAACCCACATGAAGGGAATTGAAGGGATCCACAGCGCCTAGCGCCCAGTGTCGAAAAACGAAAACAAGAACAACAGAATGGCGCAGAATTAGTTCACCAGACAGTGGGAAGATGGGCGGTTCTGAGGTGGAAGATTCGGATGTCCAGAAACAGAAGCGATCGACGTGAGTAACACGGTGACACGATGAAGATGGGCCTGGGCCGACTAGGTGCCGGCTGGATCTAAACCATTTGGAACAATGGCACACGCTGGACTCCAGGTAGAGTCACTGTCCTCGCCGGAGTCTGAATCCTACACCGAACTTGCTGCCACCCTATATCACCCTATCTATTGGGGTATCCAATTCAGGCGAGTACAGGAGTTCTGAGGCTTTCTTCCACCGAGCTCTTCACCTTCCCATCGCCTTCCATCGGAATGGCCCCCGACCGCCCGAAACCAACCGCGCGCCATGGGGCAGTGTTTTGAGATGAAGCGATGCGAATCTAATGCGTAGTATGTGTGGTCAGTCAATCCTAACTGGAATGAAAAGAGTCACCCTGGCCCCTCTGGCTCTTCAAAGAAGGACTTAACATGTTTTGTCTTCTAACTCTATTAATAGGGACCACTAGTGGTATCAGACTGGTGCTTCTTGATCTTCAGGAGCAAATCACCAAATCAAACTGGTGGTTCATTCTGCATTAACTCGCTCACCCAAAGCAAAAAAGCTTGTGGTGTCAGCAGTCGCAAGTCGATGACTCTTCAATTCTATTCCAGGCCAGGCCTGTTGAATATCCCTAGATTGTCCCAGATTGGTTGCGGTGCTGCAGCAGGACTTGTTCATCTAATTGTTGTCAGGACCAAGTATTCTGTGTCACTATGTCTACTTGTAGGAAGTCACTTAGTTGAAGCAAAAATGCCTGGACTCCGGACTGCATCTGCGAGGACGCTCTCCCACAAGCGCACATGTCCATGTTCGCAGTCTCTGTCAGCTTCCAGAATGGCATATCCACCAGTGAATCGCCCAACTATTTGTTTTCCAATCCAGGCGTCCGTTGCTTAGTCAACCGATCCGACACCAACACTGCATTGCAGGACGGACCTGTTGTGAGGTTCGGCTCCCCCGTTCACTTCAAACCAAGTATTTCAACACTCCAGCTGGTTGCGTCCTGGCATTCTTGGAGTTTAGATGATCATGTGTACGATGCAATTGCAGACCTACAGGTGCATGATTACGTTCATGCGCCAGTTTGTTTTTTCGTCAAAGAAACGACATCAGGCACCAGTGCGTGTGTATGTATATGTGTGTGTGTCTGCAACATAAACCAACAACCAACAACGACCTTCCAGATGTCGAAAACGTACCAAGCCCGTGGCCCTGTCTGAGGTCTAAACGTCAAGAAGGCATCTTTGGTATCCAACATCGCAATCGCCTCATCCTGCAAGCGATCAAGGGCAATCAGTTAGTTGGTGTAGTAGTATGATGCCAGGGTTATTCTTCACATTCTCTGTGTGTTTCCGCTTGGCGATCCACAGCGTCTTCTGGAGCTTTGGTCTGGCACGTCTTTTTGGTACCTTGGAGGTGAATGAAGGAATGACCCGCGAGTAGAGACTCCTGCAGCTAGGGAACTCCCCACTTACTTGCGCCCAAACAAGACCGATGGAACTGGCAATCTACCTACATGTCACCCCTGAAACCACCATTGTAAGTGGATATGTAAATATTTGTCCACTGGCAAACATCCTACTGGCAAATACCCTTTAGCATACCGCTGGCAAATATTCCATATCTCTCCCACTTTCTGTGAAAAACCACGACGCTCCTGCTGGATGGAGGACACTCAGTGCTTTTTGCTTGGAGCTGTGGATTGCACCCCCCTGCTTGCCAATCATGAATCCCCACTCCTGGTCTTCTTGCACTTCGATAAGCCGCTCGTCTAGAACATGGGTACAACAAACTTGAAAAAACGTGCCATGCCCTCAGTTGGGGGAGAAGCTTCACACGTAGGATCAGGGCGTCGTCACCGTGCCGAGGTCCTCATACCACCACGCAACAGCTTCTTACACCCGGCACTTGGCACATCGGAAGACAACTCTCCAATGACTTCGAGGCGACCTGGGGTGCCCATCGCGCTGCTTCTCACCGCGGTTTCACGCGCAAATCGACCGGAGGTATCCCCCCTGGTCCTGACCGTCCGAGGGCACCAGGAGGTTAATGCTCGAGGACTCCTGGCGCGAGCGGTTCCGAGTTCGGCGAGGGGCAGCCAGGGAGACCCAAAGGCTTACCGCGCTGTGGAGGAAAGGTTGGTTTGGGGGTGGTTCCCTAGCCAGTCGCATCCAGTGGCAGTCTCAATGATGAGTGCGTTGTGGTAGGGCCTAGGGCCTAGGGCAACTCTTTTGATGTTTTTTCATGGGGGTTCAGACGTGGGACTGAGGATCCTCTGGCAAAGCTGGGCAAGTGGCACATGGCACGCTACCTCTGAGAACAAGCCAGCAAGTGATGAAAGCTTAAAGGTGTTCATATGTATCTTTGGGACCAGTTCATCACCTTTGTCGGGGTAACGAGTAACGCATCTCTGCACGTCCTGGTTCTCCGAGACATGCGCTCGAAGAATCACCTGGGCGAACAGCTGCCACGCTAATGGATCAAGGATTCTCTCCCGGTCCAAACCACACTGACCGAGCAAGGGCACCTGATTCCATTGAAGAAGTGTGATTGGCCCAAAGAGGCGACAAAACGAGATCCACTCCTTATATCTGCTTATGAATCCAGTTGCCTCAAAAAGGGCAACTTGACCACCCCATTCTTCGAGGGATTTGGCAGGATTGAGAAAGTATGGAGAACCCATTGTGGTTGATGAAAGGCCCGTTCCTGTGAACCCACACCATATTAATTGCGTATTATATCACATGTACTTCCCCCAGTATTCATATCCAAAGGTCCTCTCTTAATTCCCCATGCAGGCAAAAGCAAGGAGAGGTGCGGTCTTTGTTCTCCAGTTACCACCTGTAAGCGGTGGACCTTTGGTCGCCAAACCCGCGATCGCCATGGCCGCCCAACGAAAACCGAGCGTGCGCAGTGCCAAGCGACACTGCCATCCTTGACCCGCACGACGTTCACCGTCCTTCACCGAGCCCGGGCGGATCGGACGTCGCGGATGTGCCCGAAAGGTCTCAGCCAACGTTCTGCGGGCGTCGATTTTCCGAAACAATCGAACTGAACTCCAGTGATTCAGTGGGCCATCAAAGGTTCAATGGCACAATCCCCAGGTCGGTGGTGCAATTATGGACCCCCCCTTATGAAAAACATCTTGGGGTGTGAGTGCCATCGCTATATAGATCGATGAATCATGATGAATCTCTGTTGGAACTCATAGCGTTCGGCGTCTTTCACCATCTGAGAGTTGGATAGAATTAGGATAGAACCTTGACCGATCCCATGTGGTTACTTGGTATACTTGGCAAACCGTTCAATCACTGCATTCTGGCCACCCACGGAAAAGCTCCGATCAACGACCAAGCCCGAAACGTTCCAGTCCACCGTCCCGTCGCGGGTCCTGTTCTCAGGTGTCGGCGACAGAACGCCTCGAAACGTGCGACACGCGCAGCGCTGGGTCGTTCGGAAAGCCCAGGCCGAGTGGCGGAAGAAAAGGTCTGGTCCATTGAAATTCCGAACCAACTGGGTAAGGCACTCTGTAGAGAGCTCGGTGTGTATCATGGAGATTCCCTGGAAGAAGGGAAACATTGACCCCTTGAAGGAACATGTAGCCACCCTAATCTAGCAACACTCAATATGATCGATCCCTGGTGACGATCGATCCCGGGTGGCATTGAGCAACCTCTTCACCCCGATGGTCGGGGTGCCTTTTTGAAACCCGCAGTCGAACTGTACCGTGATGATCATTGACTATGTGGCAAAATTTGACAAACTCATGGTGACATCAACCAAATCATGTGGCAATGCATACACATGCATTCAGAAACCAGCCCAGGTGGTCCATTTTCATGTGTTTCAGGAGTCCCTCGAAGCCAGTTCATTACTTGGTGGGTAAGCAAGTACAATTTAAACAAAAAAAAGAAAACACAAGACTTAAGATTCCAATATATATTATATATATACCTATTATATCCTATTATTATATATTATAGTTCTCTACACTTCTCTACACTTGGCATGATGTCCTCCTGCAGCGCCATGGTCGGACTGGAACCCCCCTCTACTTTCGGAGGGGAAAGAGTTCACTCCAAGGCGCCATCCAAGCGCACCGAGACACCCATGGGGTTCTTCACCTCGAACTCCGAGCCGTCGGTGCAGCAGGGAACTGCTGAAAAGCTGCTGCTAGCAGGAGGGAGAGCTGCTAGCATTGTATTAGATGTTAGCTGCATGTAATTATCTGTGCTATAATTCTATAAATAAGGCACCCACCAGTTCGATATAGGATGATATAGGCTTTCCATTGATTTAAACTATTCAATCCCCCACCTGGTCGCTCTGGAGGCATCGCTCTTTCTCGGTGCCATGGTGGAACCCCGTCGCTACCCCAAAGACGAGGTACCGAGCGACGAGTGGGACTTTGGAGTTTCAACTCACGAACGAACCATATATAGTGGATTGAGAGTAGATGGCACAGACCCCAAGAGGTGGTTTATATGGACCCCCACTGTATTAGTAAATCATCCCAAGTAAAGCTTGAACACAAACGAATGTCTGAAAGCACCCAAACAGGCTACCTGTTTTGCATCCGGAACATGGAACATGCGAGGTCCAGTAGCTTAGGCTACTTAGCATAGGGATACTGTATCCGGAGTGTCTAGGGCCTGGGGTATAGTCTACGTGGCTGAGGTAGTACGTAGCCAAATGTTGATGTTCTCCCCTCGCGAAAAACAGCGACAGGGCCGTCGTCCGGATCATCTTGCCAGCGTGCCTGTGAAAAGAAGAATCCCGCTGGGGTGCGTTGCGGAAACTCCTCAAAAATCCATGTCAATCATATTAGCATTCTGCAAAGCCTAGTAGCTTATGTCAACCATGACGCTGATGGCTGAATGATTCCAATGGTGTAAACATGTCTGAGATCTTTAGCTTCCATAAACCTAACTAACAGTATCCTCCCCTTCATTGAACCAACCAATTTGGGTCAGAGTTTCCAAGACCTCTGCAGAAGTAGTGCCTAGCCTTTGATTTCCTGTCATCCACCACCCTGCAAATTCCGGGCTCTGGGACGAAAAGAGCCATGGTTAGCGGCGACTGGCGATTATCCTGAAGCGGACACCGAACATGTTCTAGTTGAATGCGGGTGAGGATACTTGTCTGTGGTGTCCATCCGCAAAGCATTGTATAAATCTGTCCTATCACCTGTCACTGTCTCCACACACCGCACCTAAGTCCCACTTGGCATCATTCAAGTTGGTCGGATCACCATTCACCGGAGCAAGAAAAGAGCCAGGTCTTGGAGTGGAATCATCGAATCATACTCCCTGTAGCTCCTTGGCTTCCTCTTTTCGGGGGAGTATGGGTACTGTCAAGAACTCGCTCCCTGATGAGCAAAGAGCTAGCATAATACTCAATTAAACATTCTAGAGAACCCATGTTCGATCACATGTTGCTACCGTCTTGTCCCGTGGTATTCGTCCCCTTCCCATCTTTGCTCCGCGCGCCACCGAATCCGCCGGTCAACCGCCTGCACTCGTCGACTCGGTTTCGGGGGCTCCTCCGGCAGTTGGGAGGACGTCGGGGGCGCTAACCTCAGGTGCGCGACAGGAGGATCGGCCTGAAGGATCCTGAAGGATCGATGGGTCCATGGAAACATCTGGACACAACACCTAGGTGTCCAAGTGAACCGTCCTCCCTAAGATGCGTCAACCGCCAGTCAAGGAAGGTCCATCTCTTATCTAGTCCCAGCTGCAGCGGTAAGACTCCAGTGATGTCTTTCTTCCTTCCATTTCGTTCTTGTCCTTTCCCTTCCCTTCCCTCTCTGTCTCGTCCTCTCCGTCTCTGATTTGCCTGTGCAAGGATTTGACGATTTTGTCCACTACTGGTCGTTGAGACTCTTTATTCACCTTAATGCTGCATCTTAAATCAATGCGAATGGTGAAGGTATTGAATCAGGTTGTCTTTGAGAAACTAGGGTGTCTTGTCTTCATGATATGATCCTCCATGGGACATCTTCCTTGCTAGCCGGGGCATCATCCAGAACCTGCTAGGAAAATCTTGGGACAGAACCAAAAACTTCAGCAAGCGAGGGAACATATCTCAAACACATGCACTCGCCGGCCACTTAGACATTGCACAGTCAAGTCAATCCTCTCCAGCTGGCACCGTCTCCTGTTTAGGAACTATGTAACTACAGTACAGGAATCTTTTTTGCACAAATCAGGAGAGCCACAAAACCCAGGTATGGACTGTCTTTGTCAGGATTATTTTCATAAAGCTGTGCGAACATCGAACTCTACTTCGCTCGATGGTTTGTTTCTCTTCTTATATTCCTACTCCCTCCAGTTGTCTGGAGACATGCAAAGCGTGGCTCGGCCCAGCTCCAGCTGGGCATCCCCCACGCACTGCCAGGCCGTGAGAGGCTCAACACCGGCAGCGTGGGCGGCAGTGATTGCCCAGCGATGGGATAGGCTGGCGTCGCAAGACGAGCGTGCGGGCGCGCGCGGGAGTAGTGGTGGTGCGATTTTGGAAAGTTTCGGGGCCTCCAGTGGGCTCCACGGATCTGCAGAAAGGAAGATCAAAAAGAGAGAGGAGATGGTTTAGATGTTTAGTCAACTAATCTTCTTGGGTGGGGTTGCACGAGGATCGAGAACCAAAATAGCAAAGTTCAAATATGCACCCGTCTCCAACATCTTGCCAGTCAGATCTCCTCCAATCCAGTGGAGACAAGTAGATCTGACTGACTGACAGCATTATCTTGGATCTGCTCAATTAATCACTTTAGAGAAAACAACATAGTTAATCACTTTAAGCAAAACCAGCATTCTGGTTGGATGTTGTCAACTGATCCAACTCTCATCTAACTCGTTGCCCCGAACTCTTGAGTCCCAGCATCGCACCAACTCGTCTCCCGCCTCCGGGTCGCCTGCAGCGGAGAAAAGAAGGGTGCCGACATGTGCGAAGTTCGACCCATTGTCGAACGGTAGAATTGTTTTCCACCTTTTCTATATGATGTATAAGGGTGAATGCCTACCAAGGAGAGCTGAAGGCGAACCCAATTTGTTTGGTCGTTGGTATTTGCACGAACCGAGCCACCAACAACCCTGCGGGAGAACGGACAGCCGAACGGACAGGCCCGGGAGGTGAAGCGGAGAGGACGGGAACGAAACCTCTAGGCTCAGCATAGCTCAGCCACTCACAAGTTCCGTGCAATTCACTTGGGTAAATATGGCTTTTAACAAAAACTACATGTTCTATTTCACAGTGACATAATTGTATGTGATATTATATGTGCTTGTCATTGACTGATATGTAGGGCCGGGCTCGTGAAATGTTTCTGACATTGTCAGATGACACCGATGACACCCATGGAACACGTGGTTTCTTCTAACATGAACAAGAATGGGGCGGACTCAAACATAACATTAAAAAAAAAAAAAAAACATGTTACAGACCTCGGAAAGTACGCGGATCCATGTGGGTCCTGTCATGCTTTTTCTGGCCTGGCCTGGCTTAGGCTGTGTGTCTATGTTCCTTCACCTTTCAGCAGCTTGTCGGGTCTCGCGGTCTCGGGAGCTACACTCGTACCTTTGAAGGTACCGATCCCAGACACTCCATGGGATTGGCATCGGACTGCCGTCCCAAGACCCCTCTGGCACCCCCTGGCCGTTTCTCGGCAGACCGTCCTGGCAGTCCCAGTGTTTGGTTTGGCTTCGAACGCCTCCCGATCGCCGTCGGTGGGACTCTCACTCCCGCCCTCGCCCGCCCTCGCCGCAACGCGATGGATGACCAGTGGCAAGGCGGTGGTTCCAGGGCGGCTGGGAAGGGCCGAGGCGGGCCTCGGAAGCTTCGAATGAGCTGAAAGCGACCACGGTTTGGGCCACGCGGCACCATGCGGAAGGAGCATGAGTTGACATTTCTTGTGGAGGTATGATCCCGATGGTTTCATGGTGTCTTTTCATTCGTCTGCTTGAATGTTTGCATGCTTTTGCTTGTTGCGGCCTCTGGCTGGTGCTGTTTGGCGATTTGCGTGACATCTTGAATCTTCCGAAGGCCAAGCCGACTTCCTCCAAGAGTAATATAGACCCTGCACATAAAATCTAGGAAAACAATAATAACACATTTCCTCTTACTCGATCAGGAGGTCCATGTCAACACTGGTCTTTGACTATATATTGCCTTCCTGCAAACGCTTAAAGCCTTTTGGAGGTTCGTTTTCAAGCATAATCTACCTTCAACAAGCTGGTCAACCCAAAGTTCCCATACAATCAGTATGCAACTAAGGGGTCTCTACAATTTCCCAAGCATAATCTTAAAGCCTGCGGCTTGCCCAGACACAATGGAGCTAATCAAAGCAATTACCCCACAATCATGAGCGCTCCAGTTCGCCATTTCGTTGTTTGCTCCCTCGGTGCATTGTACTTGTCGATCCCAGAGTCTTTCCCGTTTCCAATGCACCGACTTACACCTCACATCAGGAAGCGAGGACGCTACGAACGCAACAAAGGGCCTCGCTACTACTGGTAGGAGCGATCGGACGCTACGTTCGGACCCTACTAGGGGGTCCTGGCCTTATTAGCTAGGAACAAGAAGCTACTATATAGGAGTCTTTTCCCTATTCCCAGACCTCCGGGCAGAAACCGCCACGCCACACCGCCGACGCGCACGCGCCGCTCACGGCGCGAAACGACGGCGCGCGTCAGTTGACGGGACTTCCGGACACGCTGCGCACCGGCGGGAACCTGAGGAGGTGGAGGTGGAGGTGGAGGTGGCAATCTTGATTCAATAAACTACCCTTTCCATTTGGATTGTAGAACCTCTTCAGGCTTGGGGGTTTGTCAGTATTTTGCGAGTCAAGAGTCATCAGGCTGAGAAGCAAGCTATCAGAGCTGGTCTCCTGGTCTCCGGTCTCCACCGAAAGGTCTCGGTCACAGGTCCACACCGGTCTCCACCACCAAACCCGTACTTCCCAAGCTCCACCCTGTAAGAAAACAAGGGCGGACGCTAGCCATGGGTCACCATTAGATATTCAAAAGCTGCAGTGCTATACGTAGTGCTTGCTATCTGTGGTGCGCTTAATTACTACAAACCTGGGGGTTAAAACTGGAAAACTCTCCTTCACAGACTTTTTAGATATTGGTGGGTCCATCTGGTGGCCGGTATTTGTGCGGTGGTTGCAAAATATACTTCGATAGTTCCATCTCTCACTTTTTTTGATGGCTCCGTTCTCTCTGGGTGTCAGCGCCTCGCTTCTGCTGGGCGTGGAGGCTTCTCCTCAAGAAACATAGCACAGGACAAGCAGTCTGACCCTGCATAAACCTGACTACAGCAACACAACGAATTCACAAGATCTTATCAATTCGTTGCGTGACAGGTTTTTGTATTTGTCTGTCTTCATAAGGAGCGGCCCAAAAAACCCAGCGGGTGAACCAAAAAGTTGGCCCCTCAAATCCTCCAACAGTCACACGTTCGCAGCAGCGCAGCCCCAGACGTGTGTCCCGTTGCAGCGGGATGTGTTGTGGGTTTCCCGGGTGCGAGACATGAGTGGAGACCGGCAGCAATACCCAATGGAGTCCTTTGAACCAGTGTATCCCTGCTTGGGATCCTGAACATATGAGCTCTTAAGAATAGTGACGATTATCAATTCAGCAAAAGGTGGCAGGCTTCAGTTCTCAGGAATCTTGAAGTACCTTGCCGCTTGCGAGAATAGAAACGGCCACACAAATGTCCAACAAAAGATCGAGGACGGCATTGCCATGGGCATTTGCTACTCCATGATATCTCATTAAAAAATACACCCCGGAAGACGATCCCATGGACCCTGAAAACCACTGGTTGGTAGAGGAAAACACTCATAAACAGGGGGCCATGTTAGTCAGGGTATGTCAGGGTCTATGTTAGTTTGGGGGAGTATAAACAAATAACCATGTCATCCACCTCTGTCATCCACCGGTCGTAGCCGGCCTCAGCGGCTCGCCCCATGATGAAGAAGGCAAAGGCCGTGAGCACCTGAGGTTTTCATGGCGTTGAGCTCGGCTCATGGAGGTTCTGAACCGTATCAAGGCGCACGCGCCACTAAGGCGCTGACCAGAATGGATGCACATAGGGCCAGGGCCAGGGCCATCGTTTGGGTCGTCAGCCAACTCAGGGTAGCCACAGGGTCAGAGAGGCCTTTGGATCCACTACCACTCTCTGAGAAGGTGGCTTGATGACTTGATGCGGCTACAAGCGCCGCAGTGAGGATCCAGTCGTACCCTCTGAGATCCCTATGGTGAAAGCTTGTTTAACGGCTTTCAGGATTGTCACTGAAGACGTTGGACCCCTTGCATCCCTCCCAAAGGGAATTGTGAGACATAGTAAGAAGACAACTGCCTGCGCTGCAGATCGCATAATCCACCAAAAATGAACCACACACACTCCCTGAAACAATCATGGAGGTGGAAAGCCACCTGTTTGGTATTCGGAAACTGGTTCTGCAAGGGGCCATGCCATCCACTTCCATTCAAGTCTGACGCAGCACGTCTCGTTTCGTTTTCTGCCGAAGTGCCAGTGGCAAGCAAACCAGGGTGAACAACATCACCGTGCCATCTGGTACGCCCTTGGCTGCCTCGTCGCTCACGGTGGCTGGTCTGGGGAGTATCCACTTGATGGACAGCGTTCTGTCAATTTCTATGGTCAGTTTACACGGTGGGGTTCTGGAAGGGAACTTGTTTGGCTAGTCTTGTTCTTCTTTGTAGCACCATGTTGCACCTTATCAGTTCCTATCCCGGTACCTGAAGCCCAAACATCAAATGCCTTGTGGCTAAACTCTCAAATCTCACATGGGTGTGCATTGAAATAGGAAGTTTGGAGGACCAACCAAAGGGGTAGACTGGTCCAGTTTCCTTCAAACCCAGGTTCGTTGCCTGGGGGGTCTCCCTTTTCTAGCACACAACCACACAGCTCCAGCCAGCATCGTCATCACTACAAAAACGCGACCCTTCGGAGGGTCCGAAGAGGCTCACTTGAAGGGAAGGAGGTGTGATGAGGTGTGCATCTTAAGGTATGAATCCTGAGGAGGGTGGTATACTGGCAATTCGGTTTGATTACAGCATCCTGAGCACCGCCTGAGCGTGCTCAAAGGACTTCTGTGTGCCTGCCTATGCTTTTTCTGCCCGGCATAGAGATGGGAGGGCAGCAATCCTCGTTTTCCTGAACCAATCCTCTACCAGCACCTTCCAAGAGGTGTCTATAGATAGCCTCTTAGAGGTTAAGAGGTGCCCAAACACCACCTGTTGGAAGGTCCTGGTAAGGATACCATCACGTCTTTGTGATACCCAAACACTCCATGGGAATGCCTTAGGACTGTCATAGATGCCTGGGGTGGTTGACTGGGGGTCAATGGGGCGGCATATATGGCAGTCCCATGGAGTGTCTGGGTGATATATTTCTGAATGACCCTTTTCCGAATTCCAAGCAAATGGCTTTCCACTCCCATGGATTTCAGGGAGTGTACCTCCTAGGTGCCTTCACTGGGCTGGTGGCCTGGTCCCCAAAAAGCGAGTTCCTCCTCAAAGAGCGAGCCACGTTCGCGCCTTGAGGCTTCGAGACAAAGCCACGCCGACTAACCTGGGGGTTGCTGGACGGATGTATGGAATGATGTGTCATAATTCGAGTGGACATCGCCAGACCTGCGCCAGACCTGCACATTGCAGCTGCTCACAGCCTCTTCCGACAAAAAACTCTGACCCCAAGCGTACCATCTTCAATGTCCGCAACGAATCTTCTCGGTGGGCCATGTTCCTGCAGAAGAAAGGGAATCCTGTATGTGCAGGAAGAGTGGATATCGATGGATCCTATTCCCTGGAAAGGTCAACTCTTTTGCACCACGTTCCTCTTCAGCAGGAACACCACCAAAGAGGGCTTTTTGAGCCACTGACTGGGCTGCTACCGTTCCAGGATTGACTCTTCAATGCTTGGTCCAGCCGGGTGTGTCTGCACATGAAAAAAAGGGGGCAAACCGGACCACCTGAGCCAACTGGTCCAGGCTAGATGGCCGAAGTGCTTGGAATCACCGTGGTGTCATGGCTGAGATTTGGGCATCAAGGACTTCGAAAAAAGAGGCATTCACCCTAATGCCAACCGACTGACAGTCCCTGGAATCCTCATGAATACGTATAGATGGCATGGCCAAACAGATGGTGAACTCAGTGAACTCCACTTCCATGTTAATGACTTGGAGAGTAGTGCAAACTCGACAAAGCCACGGTGTCACAGTCCCGCACGTACCACCCCTGTGCCACAAAATGCAGCTACGTAGCTGCAAGCTATGAGGGACGAACTCGGCGTCAGGTTCAGTTTCCTGACAAACGTCATTGTGCTAGATTCGTAGCACAGGGAACTGGGGACCTCAAAACCAATTAGGACAAGAGGACTATGAGGACGTGTTAGACGTGTTCTAATGCACTAGATCTTACCAATTGTCATTGGAATTGGCAGGATTCACTGAAAGGAGTGCTTCTTCAATTCAATGGAACCCAAGGGATCCAAAAGGACATGAACCGCATCGGATCGAGGCCAACCGATGCGAGCCCTCGGGAACGATAGACGCAAAACAAACATGACTCTCCGATTGGAACCACCATTGATTCAATACAATCAATGGTTTTCTAATTTACTGCAAAACCCGTCCTTTACATACAATCAATGGTTTTCCTTTACATTGCTTTACAGGCTTTAGACTCCAAAAACCATGTTGCCTCTCAACATATCTTGAAATGCTCCTGGAAGGCTAGGCTCGATCGTTGGGAAAACATCAAAAGATCCTCCTAGGGACGACAGCTTTCCGACCGTAGAACTTCCCTCACCATGCGGCTCTCTCTACTCCAAACGTGGCCCGCTTCGTCGGTCGCCTCGCCGAGGAATCCCTGCAGCAAACTGCCATGCCTGGCCCCGAAACGAGCGCGGATGGGAGCGCGGATGGAATTGACCCCCTGGTGGGGGATGGTGCAGACCATCCAGAGGCTCATCTAGCCTGAACCGGGTGTCCAGATCAAACACCCACTTGCTATTTGGAAGACACCCGGTTCAAGCTAGATGAGCCTCCAGGTGATTGGCAATGAACAAACCGGGGCGCCTTCCTGCGACAAATCCAAGGGACCAAACTCACCCGAAAACCCTCCGAACCCTGTGAGATCTGCGCAACCCGTGACCGACCGATCGCGGCTGGTCTCGGATGCAGCCGAACTGCTGTATCTGAGGGCCGCATCCAAGCAAGAAGCCCATCTGTCTCTTCCCTGTGACATCAACTTCCCCCCGCAACCAAACCACTTCAAAGCCTGCCAAGTCGTAGACAGTGTCGTAGATCTCTCAAGACCCAACACCCACGTTTTTTTCCACCAAAAAATATCCAGTTTCGCCTTGAAGGGGCACTATGGACAACCTCAGCTGAAACTCGGACCGCGCATGCCGCGGGGAATGGGACCAAGTATGGACTGAGAATGATATTGGAGAATCCATTGGTGGAAGTGGAGTGAGTTGAAAACGACCGTAGTTTGCTATTCGGAAAATATCATTGGTCATCCTTCTGGGGCCATGCCATCCACTTCCAAGATGATGTCAAGGAGTGTAATAGGATCCATGACTGTCATGACTGGATCCATGACTGGATGAGAATATCATTCATCTAAAGTACAGGTGCGAGAGTCCATGTCTAGACTCATCCCTTGATGGGACTGGCATATTTACCGATCAGTTGAGGTGGTTGAAATAGGGTCAATGTAGGCATATTTCTTACATGGAGTGTTTGGGATGGTTATACCCAAACGTTTTCCGGCTCGTTTCTGGGTACAACAGGTTCTGGATGGTTGCAAACAAATCGTGCAATCAATCGTGTAGGGTTCATCCGTGTGTGGAGGGTAGGTGTTTGCAAGTGGAACAGAAATTGAGTTGGTAGTGCCAAAAACTCGTTTGGACAACTGAGGCTCCCCGCTGGAATTACGAAGAGCAGCGCTTTCCCATAAACCAGAAGAACACGCATACCTCTTCATGGACCCATGCAAACCCGTCAGCTCCACCGCACGCGCACGGCAATCAATCTGCAATGTGACACATGCAGTAACAAGAACCACGTGCGAATCACATGCAATGCATGTCCCCAGGGATCCACCGTACCGACCCGGTTTGCGTAGCGACTGGACCCATGATCACTTTCGGCTACGTCCAAGTGTCGTTCACATCGACCTGTTCAGAGAGTGGCAGTGGATCCATGTCCGGGATGCTTCGACCCAATGCGGATCATGGCACCAGGATAGCTTGGTTGACCTACCGGCGTTCTTTGCGTCTGTACCCGGGGTAAGTGGTAAATCCCCTTCACAGTAAAAGAGTATGAACAACAATGAAAACTATACAAGTGAAACCGAATCTCCGCGCAGCATGGAAGTTCAAGCTACATGGTGTCGGGGCTACAGGTTTTGGTCCATCCTCACATGTTCATTCCGACTCACGTCGTTCTCTTCCTGAGGTGTTTTTGCAAAGGAGGGTTCTCCCATTCGGCCACCCATGCAGCAACGAAAACTCGATGGCCAGGCAGCCTGAAAAAAGACGGACTTAAAACATGGTTGAAGTTGACCTTCTTTGCAAAACAAATACATGGTGGATCATGGTGGTTTGATGTTGTTTGGTACAGACCGTCGGCCAGGAATCCTCGGTGGGGTTGGTGAATTCCTGTGCCCCAGACATCAAGTCACTCCGATCCACCTCTAACCCACTCTATGTGACCCCTGTTTTCTTCGGTGCCAACCCTTCCAAACAGAGCATCGTCACATCAAAACAGGCATCAATGGGCTCTAACAGCTCTAGCAGAATGAGACATCGATCAGTATGTCCATCTTCTAAAGACATATTCATATACTCAGCCGCGTTCTCGGGCTCATGGACGGTGACTTAAAAACACACACTCTGACACTTGTATTCAGTGAACTCAGTTACCACGCTGGGAAGGAAGGTGACAGAACTGCATGGTGGAGAGTCCGAAAGACTTGTAGGTGTTTCAACAAGTTGTTGGTCAAGTCTGCAGAACGATCGATCGGCGCGGCTCAGCTGCACGACAACGCGGCTGCAAGAAAGGGTTTAGGGGGAAGTATCATGCAAGGACCATGAAAACAAACCAGAGGAAAATTGGTGTCACAGCTTGCAATCAAGGCAGGTACACAGATTGGCGTCCCAATCTGCTTCACGGAATGTCCACAGCTGTCTTCGTTGGCAGCAGAACTGTGGATTCCCTGCTGCCCCCTGCCTGTAGAAGGTGGTTGAAAAAGGTAGTTGAAAAACGTGGAAGGAGTAGCGGTGGAAAACCCTTTGTCCAGGGGTGGACACACACACACACACCCACACACAACCCATCTCGTCTCTGCGTTGCACCTGGGTCAGGTCCTGGTGGGGTTTCCAAGACCTGGCGACGCCAAGCCCGGGGGCTTCCGGGAAAGAACACAAACACGGAGAAGAACTGCGAACTGCTTACAAGGGCACGATATACATGCAAAGCACCTTATGGTGTATGTGTTTCTTTTCAAAAAGAGGTGTCATGATCACATGAAAGTGTCATGATCAGTTCTTCATAGTTGTTTTTTTTCCTGGGTTATGGAGCAAAGCGTAAGATCTACCCTCTGTTCATTTATCTTCAATTATCATGGAAGTGGACGACTGGACAAGAAATGCCGTGTTTCAAAATGGAAAGTCCGGGAGGAAAACGTCCACGAACCCACGTCTGCTTGGATGGAGGGTAAAGTAATTAATGGTTTCAGCTTATTTTAGGTCAATCAAATGAACAACAACAAAGTCATCCATCTTCCACCAGTCTCACCCTGGGACGGCTTGATTTTCTGGTAGCTCAAACATCATTTCAATGCTCAAAGCCCTTGTTTCATGCTCGGGGCTGTACCCCAAAACCCGGGTTCTAGCTCGGTCTCTGGTATCTCGGTCTCTGGATGGTCATTTGAACTGCAAAGATGGCACAGACCTTATGAGCCAAGCTCCGACTTGGCGCATAGACCTGGCTGAGCCAACTTGCCCTAGGCATCATGTGACCATTTCTTTGCCCCAAATGCCTACGATTCATGGGGGTTCATGGCTGGTTTGAGACAAATGATGAAGTGAGCTCATGGCCAGTAGGATCCATGAACACACACACAGAGTTCATGGCCTACGAAGTCCATAGATCCTACTGGCTGGTTTGGAGTGACGTTGTGTTGAGCAACCATGCACAAGCCACACAAAACATTGGCTATGGGTCAAAGCCTGGAGCCCAAATCCCTGGTAGGTTGACCTCCCTAGTAGTCTATTTTGTTAATTTTTGGTGGGAAACACCAGAGTCTTTGGGTGTTAACCCACACAAAACAGCACAAACCCAAAGCAAACCTCATTCCAGCAGCGTGTTCTCTCTCTCTCTCTCTTTTTGGCGATGTCGCGGACAGCCCAGGCTCGTGCCAGTGGGCGACCCGCTCGTCCGCTCGTTGTCATAGGATAGGTCGAAGATGGTAGAAGAACAGGGTGGTGTTTCATCCAATTTGCTCATTGGAATCTTTGTGAAAAATCATGAAAGGTCATCTTCCTGAACCCAGCTAGTTTCCTCTGTCGAACATGACTCTTCCTTGCTTGCCTAGTCTCTTCTTTTCTGGGATGCGGTTCGCCAGCACATGGTCTGGTTAGACGGTTTTTGCTTGTGCTTTGCAGAAGCTCTGGACATCTCTGCACGAGACATCTGCGCGGGGTTGGCCGTTGGCTTAGGAGATCTGACCTCCAAGAAAGAAAGGCTGACAGATCGCTTGCGCGCTTGCCAGCGCCCCAACTGCATGATTGTGCCCAAAAGAAATACCCAAGACCTCCTGAAAAAGGTCTCTGCTTCGGTTGAGCTTGGAGGGTTGGCTTTCACTGACTACCCTCTGAGGAGGATCGATCTGAGGGGGATGCTATAGTGTTTCTTCATGCTTCTTCATTACTCACTGAGAGATCTCTCACCATCAATATGCACCGTGGTGTTGACAATTGTCATCCACACCCGTGCTAACGATAAAAACCTCAGTCTCATCCGTCTTGGGAGTCACAACTTTCCAGTAAAAAATGCATCCACACTGACCGAGGCATCCCGAGGACAAAAAAATAGTATATAATATTCCATTAATTTCCCACCACATTGCCTCTGCAAGCCCAATTCCAGGGTACAAAAAGGTACTCCTTCCCTGCTTCAGCTTGATCTTGACCTCCTCTGCGATCGAGTCCAACCCTCTGGAAGACATGCCCTGGACAGCTCACCATGCCGCTTGTCCTGGCCCTGGCTGCGCCCCACCCGCAGGGGCGCCCGTGGAACCACCCTGCGGCATCCCTGCGGGCTGCGGCATCACTGAAGCACCCGGGGCGCCTGTCGGTGGTGTCGGCAGGAAGCACGAAATCATGTGGTGAGGATACTCAAAATCAGCTGGTCAGGGGCCCATGGTAGCTCCCCTGAGCTGAACTCATCACAGTTCATATATATAATATTTATATATATATATTATAACTGTAAATGGATCATAATTATACACAAAAAAACATATCATATCAATGTCTTTCTGAAACACTCTATGAAGATGTATTGAAGGTAACGTGAAACATGTCTGGACTGGCAGGATCCATCCAGGCAAGTGACCAAAACCATCAGATCTGATTCTCATCCACTGAAAAGGTTCAGCAACAGACCCAACAGGAAACACACATGATACACTCTGACTCATTAACATGGAGAGTGGAAATGGGGACCCTGGAAGAAGACTACTGTCCTCTACATACAGGGGGGTTCCACTTCCATGTTAGTGAGTCAAAGCGTATTGATCATGGCTACTATCATGGCTATCTCATGCCTACTCAGATCGCCCAAGTCAAGCGCGCATCAGAGACTGGGATTGGTCCAATCTCTCGCAGGGCAATCGCACCATGCCATCATGCCATGTCTGGAGGGACTTTGACTCTTGATATCTCTTGACTTTGCTACCGTCCTACCGATGTTCCCTGGATGTGAACTGCGGTACTTCAAACATCTCTCGCCCAGCACCGTCGTTCCAAACATGAACCTGCACCCTTTCCGGCACCGCGCACCGCTCCAACCTCCAAAGCTCCCAGCCGCTGGATACCCCGCATACTGCGCGCCAGCCGCGTCGTAGCCGGTGCTGCCATCGTATCCCGCCGTGGCATAGGTGGCATCGTAGCCCGAGTAGGCGCCTGCCTCCTGGCATCGTCAAAGCGGTCGAACTCGACTGAACCACCGAACAAGCACCAACCGAACATCTCAGAAAAAAAGGCAAAGACATATTTAGCTGACTCTCAGAACAAGCAGCGGCTCGTGTTGAAGTAGGGAATCAGCCTTTAGCCGCCTATGTTGTGTAGCAGGACCTATATAATATATAATATCATTCTAGTAAACCTATGCTATTAGTCAACCTATCCTATCCCTCAGAAACAGCACCTCCCTTGGTAGAGAACAAACAATACCGCGCTGGCGTGACGCCGTCAATACAGTATGGTGCCAATATGTGCATGTCCACCCGTTACGACCGGTGGCTTGAAGACCCTTTGATCGGCGCATCTAGTGCAAACTTATCCCTAGGGCTCCAAGTACCTTCTCAGAAGGTATGACTGAACCCTCCTGGCACCCACACCAAACACCTTCTTAGAAGGTACGACTGGAGCCCTAGGGTACATCATCTTATATCACACGTCAGGATTCCAACTGCTCAGTCTTCCCAAGTGGTGTTTTTTTTGGGGGGGACTTGCCTCATTGCCCAGTCCACTGGGACATGCCTTGTGCCGTGAGTTCGAGTTCTGCGGGTCTACCCTCCCAACCAGCGGACGACCTCGCGAGAACGACTCAATGTCAGAACGAATCCTCCGTTCGCAGGAGACTCCACCAGTTGATGCCAGGGATCATCTGTTGATGCTTCAGCCTCTCCAGTTTTTCCCATGTCTATGATCCACCGACCCTTTTTATAACGCCTCTGCAAAACACCAACGGCCAATGAGGTACCTTGAGAAGCTGGCACTGTGGGGACAAAGTATATATAAATACTAACAGGACCGTGTTTCCATTTTTCTGGACATGTCTGTCTGGGGGCCACCGCAATAGGAATGTTCACTGCCTGTCGCATTCTCATAGCTCTTTGGTTGCTTTCATGGGACTCTGATTTTGTTGAACTCACTCGCGCCAGGTGGTGGGTGCTTTTCAAACTAGCTGATCTCCTGAAAGGCCGCTGCTTGAAAGGATGCTGCCTGCTCCTCCCGCGGCAACGGCAGTAGAGTCAACGGCAACGGCAACGGCGATGTGACCAGAAGGGGGTCCCACACCCTCATCCTCCCTCATCCTCCCTCATCCATGGTCTAGAGCTACAACTTCCTCCCCCTTGTTGTGCAGCGTATTTCGGGTGATCCCCACCCAAAGAGGTGATTTGGAAGGACGATGTATGGACTTACTGTGTCTTTTCTGAAATCTGACATATATGTTCTGACGCGTATTTGGGACGCCTATTTTGGCATGATTTGCCATGTATTCTCGCACATGTTTTCACCAAAGCATGTTCAACGGCCTATCTTCTCGTCAGAGGTGCTTCGTTCAAACCTTTGGGACCCTGATCTGTCAAGATCGCAGGTTGTCATGTCCACTGACCATAAGTCCACTGCGCTCCTCCATCGCGCCGTAGCTCTCTTGCTCTTTGAGCATCTCCTGACACCATATCTGGTCGCGCGCCCTATATTCAAAGACGGGAATATAGCATCAAAGATCATGCAAGTCTGACTCCCTGAAATGTGTTTGCCTGCCATGTGATTCTGACACCATAGCAACCATGCATGGTCTTGGAAACTCAATAAAAGATGCATGAGCATGGGCAAAAATTATCCCAGTCCTAAGGATCAGCCTGGCAATGATCAAACACCCAGTGTGGCGGTCACATGGGTGACATGTGGGGTGGATCAACAGGCAAACAACCAAACTTGGTAGTTCATGTCACTTCAGGCCCGGCGTTGTAGGACCTGGGAGCCCTATGTTAAGATTGGTATGTACATGATTGTACATGTACAATGTTTAATAGATCAAAGAGTACGGGTGTGGATTCTATACAACTGCAGTGACACTTCAATTTTCGGGTTCTTTATTCAGTGTGTGCCTGAAAAATCAAGAGAACCTCAACACATATCCAGGTCTTTTACATGTCCCTGCCTCATGTTCCAAGCAAGTCCACACCAGCCGCAATTGCAAATATTTATAACTTCCTGAACTCACCCCAACTGCGCCAGGAAGCACCACAAGAGTCCAACGAACCAAAAACAACCAAAACGGCCGGTCCTTGTAGATGCGTTGCTCCTCGGTCTGCTCGTTGCTGAGCCTCGTGGGCCACGCCACGTCGGTCGCCCTAGGAGTTAAGCACCACGTCGGTTGCACTGTAAAGGTTCTTACAAGTTCGTACCGAACAGTCATTGTTTGACATTAGAGATTGTGCACGTCACATTACCCAGGTCAATCTTTCTTTATCGTCGCATTCCGGAAGGCTAAGTACAGTAGGCACCTAAGTACAGTAGGAATTGGCAAAACAAAAAACTGGTTAAACCCATGTTAAACATATCCAATCCCATCGATTCCCATCGACTCTTCCCATCGAAACATCGGAAGATCCATGTGTCAAGGTATAGGGCCTGGTAGCGAAACGCCGTGCTTGCAAGTAACAAGTGCTGAAAGGTAGAGGGTGTAGGGTGTAGTGTTGAAAAGCATCTCAAAAACCGAGTGCTGCAGATTTTCAAAGCTGTCAACGTGTGTTCGTCTTCTGATTCAACTGATTCAACCAATACTCCGTTGCTTCGGACTCTTTCGTGGAAGACGGCGTAAACACAACGTACCCACCAGTTCTGGGTCGACCGTTTTGGAAGCATGGCACCGCCCCAGATGTCTTGGACGGGACAACACCGACTTGATGGGGTTGGCCAAAGGTCACCTCTGAAAGCACAGAAAAAGGGTTTTTCGGCGACCAAAACGACCAAGCCAAGCTGACCAGGGAACATCCATCTTCCTCGTTTTGGAAGAGCAAGACTAGTGGGACTTGGAACACCAAATCACTTCAGGGCAGCTTCAACTGCAATCGAACAGTCTACAAGGCTGGTATTCACGGTATGCAACTGATCTGCATAAGTTATACTGTAAGCATGCCATAGCATGCCGAGATGCCAACCATCTCCCGAGACTCAGCTGGATCTTCAATGCCATCTTTGGGCATGACCATATCAGCCATCAGCCAAGGCGCTTCATACAGGTATGCATTCCAATAGAAACGAGTTGAAGAAACAGTGCCACCCAGACCTGGACTTGAAGCGCGGCTGGAAGGGAGGAAAACGCGAGCGGCACGCTCATGGTCGAGGAAAACAGCGGTACGGGTCTTGTAAGAGTCGGGCAGTCTGCAGTCATGTTCGGCTGCACAAAAGCAATCTATACGGCGAAGGTTTTCTGCGCCCTCTTAGAGGGGAAGATCTGCAGGGTTTCCTCCGGTGTCATCGATTCATATGATTCATCTGTTCACTGAGCGTTGGCCCACAAAACTTGTGGTATCATGGACCACACCTGATCGCACAACTCTGCACCCAAACATGGCCACAGCCGGGTTCCTTTACTTTGCAGATATATCGTTTCCGGTCAAGTGCTGGCGAAGGATGGCATCTCGAATGTGCCCACCTCAAGCCCAATCATCAGCTTCTGGTCACATCTAAATCTAGTCTGCCATCATTATGCATTCAGTGACTTTTTTCTAGGCAATCCATGTCCGCAAAACATTTTACAACAGGGCTCCACCTTTGTCATTCTTTTGAGGGATTAGGTGGCCCGCAGACTATCTGTGCACACTCCACATCAGTCACTCAGAAAAACGACCCACCTAGCACAGTCCCAGGCCCTCCCGGTGCTGGTGTAGTTTTGGCCAAGGTGCCAAGAAGTAGCCAGGGCACATCCCCACCGACTGGCTCGCTTCAAAAACGAATGGAAGACCTTCGCCGCCTCAGTGAAGTGTCCCAGGAAAAGTTCCTTGCGTTTCTGGCATCAGCCATCGAGGTCAGCATAGGTCCATTTGTTTCTACATCCAACATGGTCGCAGTCTAGCCATGTGAAAGACCAACAAAAGAAAGTCATGCAATTTGGATCAATCTGGAGATAGATACCAAATGGATCCCCTGCCAGTGCATCCACATGGAGTTCTCGCTCGCTTTTCCGTACGAAAAACTCCAAACAACAGCCCAAAGTCCATCGTCCAGCTCGTTGCTGAGGGGAGGCAAACACCGAGTGCTCTGGAGAGGGTAAAGCGGCGACTCTCCATTGTTTTCCAAAGATGTGTGCTTGGATGGATTCATCACAGTCCAGGACTGAAAGGACCTGAAATCGGCAGCTTTCAGACCAGACATGGTCCTGGAGTCCTACAACTAGGCCTAGTACTGGGGATTGCCAGTTGGGCAGCTTGGCTCATAATTTCATGCCACCGAGTAGGGCACAGCCGGGGGCACAGCTCAGGTAGGCCTGAAGGGTGGCGTTTCGTTTCATCCACAAAGCTCTCGATCCAAGATGATTCGATGGCGGAACCGCAAAGGGTTTTTGCACCACCGAACCCCTTCGTCTCCGTCATGATCCGTTTTCAGGTCTGACGGCTTTCATTTCATCGAAGAACGTGGTCTGTGGTCCCCATGGTCTCATGTCTTTGGAAAAGAAACATCGACAAAGATAATTTAACTCATTTTAACTCTGCTAATGTAAAAGGAACACTAGCTAACACATGAGCCATCTTGGAGGGTTAAGTTTTCCAGTTTTCCCATCCTGCACTCTATCCACTGCAAGAACTGAAACACTGCATGGACTGCTGCCCAAAAGAACGCGATGCTGCCCAAATCACCGATGTGATCCAGAGAAGTCATGGCGAACGCCGTGTAGCCTCGGCCAAACATATTCGTTGAACACATAACAAAGGACTCGCAGGTTCCCAAATGAAATGACGCAAATTACGACTCTTACGACCTATAATTGCTATTCTACGAGAACAAAGCTTTTATCGAGTCTAGTCTTTATAACAAAGATCGTCCATCGACTTGTCTCGAGTGTCTTGCGAGCTCGCTTGTTCCTCCCTTTGGTTCAGCCAGAGTTCTTTTCCCACCAAGTGGCCGGCCACGGCGCATAGCATCAGAAAGGTCCCGAGCCCATGCAAGATCACCGCCCAAGTGCGATAGATGGGCTTATGACTCTTGCCTCCAAAGCGAGGCAAAAGAGCGTCTACGACTCCCGAGGTCGTTGTATTTGTTTTGTTTTTCACGCACGCGTTATGAGTCCGTAGATTGTGTTTCACTCCGTAGATGCCATTTGGACTTGGCGAAGATGGGGGTTCTGAGCTGTATGGCTGTATGGTGACATAGTGGTTCAGTTTGATTCAGGATGCGATGCTTCAGGCGCCAGTTGGAGTCGGAGCAGCTTCCGAACTCAGATTCGATGCTGGGAGTTGGAACTTCTGCATATGAGAATCATGGAAAATAATGAGCTTTTGATCCTTTTTGGACCTTTCTTGGGGAACCTTCCCCTTCCTATCTCGTCTTCCGAGAAGGAATCGGGTCTCGGGTCTCATTGGGTTCTAATGATCAGCCTTTCTCAAAGTGACCTCCGCAGACCTTCACAAAGGTCTCACATCTAGTGTGGCCATGTGTGGCCCACCTCAAGATTCCAAAGACCATCATGATAAATACAGACGTCATTGCTGGGTCCAAATGGATGAACACGATGAAAACACCCAGCAGTCACAAAGGGGTGGTGTTTGGTCCCATCCAGTGAGTGGATAATGGGCACTCCGAACCTCCATTAAGCACCTTTTTTGTGACTGCTGGACATGGGACTCTGGCGTGTGGACTCATCTCGTCACCAGCTCCGCTCGTCACCTCTCTCTCTTCCAGGTTTCGCCGGTGCGTTCGTGCTAGTCCCAGCTGAGCTGCTGTCCAAGTAGTAGTAGAGGAGGTAGGCGCAAGTGGAAAGCAGGATCACGTTGATTGCATACCTCAACATGGCCACCCAAGAGGAATGGGGAGGTTTCTACCTGCGCTTTCTCCCAGACCGTCAGACCGTCAGACCGCATCGCCAACACCTCAGTTGAAAAACACCAGGATCCTTCGAACACCTCAGTTGGCCCACATGTTCCAGGGATCCTTCGAACTCATCCAGGATCCTTCGAACTCAATGGTTCCGTTTGGGATCGAATTTGCTGCCTGATCTGTCTGCGCAGGCGAAGACGGAGACCTGATCTGTCGGGATGTCTAAGCAATCCCAAACCAACCATGTATGGTTCCGTACATGAACCCCATGAAAATGACCCGGATCCTATATATATATATATTGATGGTGTGGGAATGGCATCTTGACAAACATTCAGGGACGCACAACCCATCAGGACGGAGCAAATCTTGGGAACCGACGAGGGGAATCGGAATGTAACAGAGCTGGTGCCAAGAAATGACTCGCTGGTTTTTCACTGGTGTGTTTTCAAACAGGGGGACCCTCCATGACCCTCCCAACCAATGAGTAGACTGATCTATCTACTCAATCTACTCTGCTTCTGCCAGGGGGTCGGAACGCCTGGGAGGTCAACCCCATGCAAAAATAAAGGTGTTCACATACAAAAACCAGGTTTTTTGCTAGGGAAAACCAGGTTTGGTATGGTTTGTGGGGCCCGTGGTAGGCACTCGGAATTCCCACGCGATTGCGACATCGCGATTGGCGACATGGTGACATCCCCAGAAGGTTAGCGTGAAAAAAAAAAGGGCGTCGATGAAATGTCGCATCTTCTCCCAAGCTACACGATGAGCACCACCATGCCCATGATATAGGCTCTGTTGAAGGCCTCAAACAGCACAAACTCTTAACACCCACAAGGCAATTCTTGGGCTCCTCTGGGCCCATTTGCTCAGCTTAAAAGCAGGTCCAGTGGGGCACTGCGGGATCCTGAGGTCCCACACAATGCAGGGATGCTGGTAGAAGGCAGTGATGGCGGGCGCACACCAATCGGCAGCTGCCTGGCTGATATTGGCTGATAGGTAGAGTCCGGTGCTAAAAATATTCTGGTGAAGACCACCACTGTCCAGCCTACATGGGGAAGGGATGGCTTGGCTAGCTACCGCAATCCTTCCAAAGGTTTAGTCAAGGGTCCTCTTTGTGCAGCTCTGCGGCGCGTGTTTGTGTGCAGCTCTGCGGCGCGTGTTTGTGGCAATTGTTTTGCGCGCAGTATCATTATACCTGGGTCCTCCTTTAGGCTAAAAAAAGTGCCGGACTTCAGTCCGGCAAAATTGTCCGCCGAGAACTTGAAAAAACATCCGGGTCCAAAATATTGAAAAACAGCTGATGAAAGGTTGGGTCATACACAAGCAAACTGCCTTTGCGCCTTTGCGCCACGAGTAGTTTTTCTGGAACACACTCATTCCTCAACCCAATCACTGGAGCCTTCCCGTTCCCATTGCCCTCGCCCATCTTCCGAAATGCCTAAGAGCAGAACCTTCACAAAATATAAGCCAACTTGTGTCCAAGCAAAGACGTCCAAAAACAAGCCAAGGAGTATGTGTATGTGTCAAGGAACCCCTCTTTCTCTGCAACCGTGTCTCTGAAGCTCTTTTACAAAGTGGGTTGCTCTCCAGGATTTTTCACTTTGCGTCAGGACCTCGACCCCCTAATCAGCGCAGCAGAACGCATGCTTCCAGTCAACACCTTCAAGATTCAAAACCTTCAAAAGACTGAGTCCGGAAAATTAGGCCGGAGTATTTACGGGAAATTACGCCGGATGTACGGGAAATTACGCCAGAGTTACGGGAATTGACGCCGGAGTTACGACGCGCCCTTTTTTCGGCAACTCTCTGCAAAACATTGAGATTCTGAACAACACACGTTCCGCAGCCCAAAACTTGTCCGGCAGGCTCTGCCAGCCTGCGTAGTAGCTAGAACTATTTCCCAGCGCCCCGACATCCTGAAACAATGGGAATACATTATCGCCTATGTTCTTTCAGCTTAGGTACACGTGCATCGCACTGTATCGAATTCATTAAGAAGATCACCTAAACGGATCTGATTGAGCCTGTGTGAACCACTGCTGAAACCGGTGGAATGAGAAAACAGCGAAACAGGCAAACGAGCACAATTTCAGGCAAAATTATTCGTCAGTGGTGGATTTACCTTCAAAGAAATGTGGACCACAAAGAATGCAAAGCCTTGAGAATCCACATACAGTGGCTTGGAAAAACTGCCGGACCAAATCCAGAAAAACGCCGGAGTTGGAAGTCCGGCGCCGGACCCTGTAAAAGTGCCGGCTGAAGATCTAGGTATAACATATATATACCAGGACCAACGCCAAGAGGTGTCTATAAATAGCCTCCTAGTGGTTAAGGGGTGTCCCAAATCCACCGGACTTAGGACTTGGAAGGTGCTGGTATATATATATATACCAGCAGTCACAAAGGGGTGCTTAATGGAGGTTAGGGGTGCCCATTATCCACTCACTGGATGGGACTAAACACCACCCCTTCGTCTGTGGAACCTGGGGTGGATCATCAACACATCCAAGACATTTGCTTGGCGAGAACAATCGCACGAAGGGGAGAGAGTGTCACGCCACAAGCTTTCCCAGAAATGGTTTCCAATACATTTTGAGTGGGGATCTACTTTTCGATCTATTTGGTGGTCTATATACTCCACTTGTGCATCCAAGGCTGCATGGTGATGATTGACACCTCTTAGATTCTTAGATCCTCCAATTAAAAGTGTTTCTAGGACATATTGTACTCACTGAGTTCAACAAAAGAGCGTCGCTGGAATTGTCGGACTCACTCACTGGACCCAGAAGTAGGACACCGCACAATGGATGTGTCCAACCCAGTCTGTCCCCGTCCCAAACGACCTCTGAACTGCATCCGGCGCATCCCTCCTCGTGTCCCTGAAAACGAGCCAGGCACGGCCTCCTGTAAGGGCCAGCCATCCGCCAGGCCCTCAGAGAGCCGTGCATGTTCTTCCACTGATGACGAGACGAAAGACCGAGTCTTGCATCAAACTGCAGTTTGATGAAGAACGAACGAGAGAGTGGGAATATGACTCAATGACTATGAGTCAGGACCCTCTACACCAGGCCATACACTGACCACAAACAAAGCCACAAACAAGGGTTTGAGCATGTCTGAGCTTCACCTAGAGCCCAAACACGACCTCTGATTTGATAAGACGTTTGACTCGTTTGACCATATATGTTACGTGTTTGGTGATCCAATTCGTTTGGCCGTTTGGCCCTTATCCTTTTCACCGACGTGTGATCAGAACCACCGAACGCGGAACGGAACGGACGATGTTCTACGACTCTCCGTGAGCTGAACGGACTCGGTACGGTGCCGAGTCCGTTTGTTGGTGCTTGCGAGCTGGGCCACTGGGCCTTTGGGCCATCGACAGGGCGGCTAGGTGTCATCGACATAGGCCAGGTGAGCCAATTGTCATCTATTCTTGACGTACTTTAAATATAATATAGATTTATATCCCATTAATTACCAGCTGTGGATGATGATGGTTAGTAAAGGCCTTTCTCTAAAATAGTGACCATTGTGTACTGACTGTTACAGGTAATAGGACACCCCAAATAATATATACTATAATTGTATACCGTATACAGGATTCTGTTCTATCACTACCAGTGCTGGTGACATCCTTCGCAGGGAATCTTCCTGAAAGTGCATCACTTTGGTTTGGCAATGGTATTCGTGCCGTGGGAGTGGGAGGGAATAGTGAGATGAAAAACACCAACTGTGCTGCAGTGTGGTACAACATGTACACATACGTCAGCATGTGCAACACGTGGACGAACTAGAGGTCCAACATGGTCCAACGCATAGCCAACCACAAACTTACTGTAACATGCTGAAGATCTTAGGCGGCCCAAGGTATCTCACCTTTGTCATGATCATGACTGATAATGTGAAGCGTTTATTTTTCCCCGGTTTCTGGGACCTGCAATGTCTTGTGTCTCGCCTGGGTTGGCGTCCAAAATGTCTGGGATATATAGTTATTGTGAGAGCTAGGTGGCATCATGCTTGAACAGGTTTTCTGCACAAAGCCATTTTCGGTCACAGGAATCAATACCGTCTGACGACCAGCCGCATCTACCCGGGTTTCGTCTAACACGCACAACCTACCTCGCTGGTCACACCGCCCCCATACAGTCGGCGGTGAACTCGTCTGCCCGTCACGTGCGAACCTATCGATGTTCGAATGGCGCCAAGCATCCAAACACCGCTTGGGCTGCCATTTGGTGAAAAGGCCGCAGAACAATCTGGTGGACAAAGACGGTGGCATCGGTCGATCAGTGGTGCGGATGGGTGGTCATCGATAACAAAGAGGATCAAAGAGGGAAAGAAGTCTAGAACGTACTTCCATAAGCTTCAAGTATATACTCTGAGAGCACACACACCTTATCAAAAACCGTGCACTTTTTGAAGAATGCTGGGATCTCTTTCCTCGACTGGAGGAAAGCCCAAAAACGCGGCTCGAGCTCTCCGTGTCCTTTCGGAAAATGCGTTGCCAGACGTTCCATATATATATGCCGATCCGTTGACTCCGAACAAGCCACTCCAATGTACCCAATGTAAGGCCCTAAAAAAATCGTGTCAATTGATCGGTCAATCTACCAGTCCCATTCGTCCGTCCCCCCCCCTCGCCGCCGCACTTCGCCACCGCACTTCGCACACCGCACGCTCCATCTCGCTCCGCGCAGCGCTCTGAAATGGGCCTGGAATCCTTGGGCATGACGCTCTTGGTCAAGGACGTCTCCAGGCGAAAGGCCGTCTTCCAGCCGCCGAAGGTTTTGAACGTCACCTGGGACCGGAGCCGAACCGGTTCGGACGGTTCGGGACGAGTGGTTGAGCGACCACGACTCATGAGATTTGGGGAATTGGTGGTGTGTGGTTTCCGTTCCTCTTGATGTAACCAGTATGACAACAAACAATGAATTCTGGAAACATAGTTTAGAATTCATGGACACTTGTTGCGAGTAGCTTCAAACACTCCTGCCATATGCGGGTCTGCGTGCAGTTGGAAAAATGGAAATACTCCACGCCCACGAACATGAGGATAAACACTACAGCAGGAAGGATTCCTGGCCTTTTGCCCAAGCGCACATTTCTGAAAGCAGGTGTCTTTGGGTCAAAGCCACCACCTAGATAGCCTATAGCTAGCCAGGATGTTTTGAGCAGTAACTGGTCCTGGTGATTTAGAAGAAACCTCTGAATCTCTGGTCTGTGATGCCTTTCTCCAGCTATCAAAGCCGGTGAAAGCTGGTTTCTCTAATGATCGGAACTGACCTTTTAGAGTGCCACGTCGGCGTTCAGCCGGTGGATTTCTTTATGGACTCCCATGGCTACGTCAAGTGCTACGTCAACAGAGCTCCCATGGTTCAGGAAGAAAAGGACATCTGGCACGGCATACCTGCCAACATCTGTCAAGAAACATAGATACTGAGCCAACCCTCTGGACAGGTCGGCGTCTGTTTTTGTCACATCTGAGGTATATATAACGATCGTGAAGAAAAAAATCAAAGAGCCCGAACAGCATTTGGCCTCTACATTTCAAGCATGATGGGAGACCTAGACCTCTCATTTGACCACATGAAACCATTGTCCAATTTACATTCTGTCAGGCATATGTCAGCCGACTGCCTTCCAGCTGGTTCATCTGCTGTGTTTCTAATGGCCAAGAGGCTTGGTGCCATTTGTTGAAGCAGGAGATGCTCATCAGCACGAAGGATGTGACGCCTCACACGGTGTGTCGGTTTTCCCGACACAAATCACACACCGTGACACAGTAAGATCGGATGAGTCAGCTCAATAGCAGAAAATGCACGAAGATGTGAACTTTCTCCCTATCGGAACATGGAGTTTGCCAGTGCGACCCCCACACAGCTACAGAAAAACAAGAGAAACAAATTACAATAATTACTAATATACACATTTTACGCCGAACCATTGCGAGCAACTCAACCACCCAGACACAACCCTGTGGCTCCAAGAAACACAGGAAGCAGTAGACGCCCACGATCTTCTTGCCTTTGTCGAAACGAGACCGATCTGCGCTCCCAGCAGAAACAGGATGAAACGGGCACTGCGCTCCCAGCTCTTTGGCCACGTCCTAGTAGCGCTCCAGTAGTAAGGCTAGGAGCCCCTACGGTAGTAGCGTCCTTGCTCCTAGTAGCGATGCCCTTTGCTCCTAATAGCATCCTGTGCTCTTTGTAGGAATTGGTAGGTCACGTCACAGTCACAAAAATCTGAGCGCTAAAGCACTCCTTCTTGTCTGACGAGCCTGGGCCTTTCTCCCCATTTCTCCTCGATATCGCTCCTTTGAGAAAACAATTCCCTAAACTATATTGAATACATTTATTTTAATGATCCATTGCAAATAGGTGGAGGGTGAGCCATACTGTTGCGACAAAATGTGTTGCCCATGAAAGTGGAAAAGACATGGGTGTGTCTTAAAGTAGGGAGACCTGGCAACGACCCCCTATAAGAAAACCAAAAACCCTTCACCAAGCTCGAGGTGCACGAAGCGAAGCGAAGCGATTCGATGTGATGATGGTTCGGGTGTATATTTGTAATCCATATCCCATCACCAATAACAGTGGATGAGGATGATGATGATGATGATGATGATGATGGTTAAGTTCCATGCCTTTCCCAAAGCATATAGTGATCATCTTCTACCAACGGCCATACTGGTTTAATGGGATTCTAACAAGGTCGTTGGACGAGGCAGCTTGGACTCCAAGACGGCTGACCCCCCATGCCGGAGACCTCCGTGAAAAAAATAGACGCGTCTACCGAACGTTCCCCCTGTTGAATTTGAGTCAGGGGTCCCCAGCCCCCCCCAAAAAGAACTTAAAGGTGATTCACTGACTGGGTAGGACAGTTTTGTCTTTAATGTGTTCATGTTCATACAATTCCTCCAGAACAGGCATTCAAACTGGCAGAACCTGTTCAACCCTACAAACACTGCAGCCTTACCTCAGCAGCCAGTTCACATCTCCAAACAGTCTCACCTGAGAAAGGAAGGTCAAAACAAGTCTTTGTTTCAGCTCGTAGGTGCCCTCCAGTTGTGGAAGGATTCAAGGATGTCACAGGGCTACTACCAGTAGTGCTCCTGCTTGACACACATTTGACAACGCTCTATATTAACCTCTAATTAACCTCGCCCAAACCACACGCACGACACTCAAACGCCAAGGTATAGACCAAGGGGCCCATGGCTGTGACACGAAACGATGCGTGAACAATTTTACAAAAGAGGCCTGGTTTAGACTTGCTAATTGACAGCTCAAATGGCGCCGGGCGGATGAATGTTGGGCGCTATGTCCGGGACCCGTCGCCGTTTCGCCGTTTCGCCGGTTGGCGTTCGCCGTTGGCGTTTCGCATCGACTTCCAGAAAGAGGACCATTCGCATGGCTGAAAGACCGAGCTCGAATGAAACATTCCTTCATGAGACACCCAGATGTTGTGCGGCTTGTAACTTAATAAGGTTTCGCATGTTTGGGGGGCCTCAGGTTTGGTCTATCCCCCATCAAGACCAAGCATTAATTTTCACACATCCCTGACATGGTGTGCATGGCAAAGCAAGACAAGCCACTGCTGGTCACAGCTTGCTTGGGGAAACACATGTCACCCAAAAACAGCTGATTGAAGCCATCACCAAAAAAGACTCCTTGAATCTCTATGAGCCTGTTCTAGTTACTAGTTTCTAACCAGTTGGGGTGTTTGATTCCAACCATATCTAGGCATTCTGGGTCATACGACTTCTGCCGGCACAACACACACACACACAGGACGCGACAAGTGCTCGTCCCACCTGGCCCACACTGGCGACGCGGCGAGCATAGACCGGACCGGTGTGGAAGTTGAGCCAAAAAGGCGAATTGACACATGAAACAGTGCATCAAAAGTTTATGTTTTAGAGAGTGACTTGAGTCATAGACTTGGAGTGCAGCATCTTGGATAAGCCACATCAGAGTGACCTGAGCAAGTTTCCTGTTTGCCAACTAAACCAGTTAGAAACATATCACCTATAGCCTATAGCGAAGTTTGACTACATAAACTATGGATGTATGTATTTCTGCTACACTTGTGGGTACGTGGCGGTATCTGACGAGCCTGGTATCCATCTCCACCTGAAAAGAAGCAAACATCCAGGACCTCTGGGAATCATGATTCTGGGGCAAATATTGCCCTGACAGGCCCACCCCCCCTCCTGCAGGCGTGGACCGCCGGCCGAGACTCTTGACTCGCTGCGTTTGATCCACCCTTGACGCGCCTTCGGCGTGCCAGGATGCAAACCACCCCGCGTTGTCACGTACACGCGCAAAGACCAATCTCCAGGCCGCCGGTGGTTGAAGTAGAATTCCCCTGAAGTTCAATGTCTAAATATTTACTTCATCCCACTTTCAAAGTGATTCAGTCAGTAAGAATATGAACATTGAGCAAATCAGTTTCTGGGTCAAAGCTCTATGGCAGGCCAAGAGCCCTTGGAGATATTTGGAGAAGCCAAGCTTCAAAACCGCCTCATGGTGACTAACATCCTATACGATCTTATATAGTTATAGATTATATAGCCCAAACCGCACGGAATGGGACACAATAATACAATATAATAATCATATATATTATCATATATTATCGCTGTTTTTCTTTTTTTTGTAGCGTGTAATGTATGCCCTATATTACCCAGACACTCCATGTACCTACATTGGGGACAGACATGGAATGTCTGGGCTATATATGTGTAGCTTCTATGATGTTTTATTACTCCTCCTTTCTGTTTCTGGATCCGGGAATAGCCCAGTCGGATCCGATGGATACCGATGGTCTCTTGTTGGTGTAGGCCCGACACCCAGCTCTGGCCCTGCCAAAAGCCACCTGGCAAGACGTGACTTAGTCGACTCTTGATTCATAACCCGTACACTTTTATGAAGAGGTTCTTCATTTGGGGGAGTCATTCAATTCGTCAGGGTTTATAGCAATCTCCCCATTCTTCACCTCTCGGACGTTACAACCTTCATGGGACCCGGCGACTGACCTGAAAAAAAAGAGACGGAGCTGGCGGAGCTTCGCGACTGAACCAACCAGCTCCGCGATGCGTAGCGAGCACCATGCTGCTTCACCGGCCGCTCGTGCTGAGCACTCTCAGGACATGGCCTGGCCAGCCGAAAAGCCGAAAGGAGGTCCGGTTCGAGAGGATTTCCAGGCGCCCTGGCATGAGGCACGGCAAGTGCGCCATGAAATTGATGAAGGGTAGCTGATTGAACGAACGTCTAGACATGTATAGGGTTAGGGTTTTGTTTGGGACCTAAAAAAATCTAATGACGTGGAAGCATCTACTTTTTACTGATCTCGGGATGGTTCGTTTCCACCTCCCACGCCGGGTTCTCTTTGGCCTCAATTGAATGGACCGCTGGTCCTCTCCTCTGGTGCCGTGAATTGAATGATTTGAACATCTCTGAACCCCACTGGAGAACGGCACGAACACACGCCCCCACAGCTCTGAAGGTATCAGTGCAGGTATCAGTGGTATCAGTCAATCCACAGGAAATATCAACACGAAACCAGCAGCTTGGCAAACTTCAGAATCGATGAACATCGTCTTCCAGCAGGTTCTGACTCCCAAGATCATTCCCTTAAAAGAAGGAGGTCAATTTTCCCATGTTTCCACCGATTCTTGTTGAGTGGGGACACTCCCTCGCCTTCCACCCACAAAAAGTGGTGCAAATGATCCACTTCGACGGTTTTCAAAGGACCAAACGCTGCAGAACCATCGTCGAACGTGGGCCGCGCCGCAGCTTCTTTCGCGTCTTTCTCCCGCTGGTTCACTGCAGATCTGCAGCGTCCGTCACCGGACGGTCCCTGCGGTCGCGTCAGGTTCCTGGGAACTGCTTGGGCTGCGGAGACGCAGCTTATGCGAGGTTTATCACGGGATGAAAGTAATCAATGTTAGATCCCATCCCCTGGGCCCAGTGGATGATGATGGGGCCTGGTTGCAGGCCTGTCTCATCCATATAGTGATAATAACTGTTACAGGTCACTTGACACCCCCAGCATAGATGAAAAACTAGATCCCACTACATTCTGAAACATCGTCCATTGTTCAGAATCAAACTTGCATTTCAGGAATCCCAAACCCAGGTCATAATTAGTACACTCAAAACCAAGGCCCTCAAACACCCTAAAAAACTGGCACCTCCCTGAAGGCCCTGAACGAACCTGACATGCGGGACGTGGGCTGATTTTCAAGTCACCCCGCTAATGGCGACCCAGCCGCCCACACGACCGTTTCCCCCACCTTTGGGACGGGACCCTGTGTATTTAACGGGGGGAAAGGGGTCGAAGCACGTTGGGGTTTTGGAGGGACCCACCGAAAAAAAAATGAACAAAACACTGAAAGGCCTGTGAATTTGAATGCATTTGGGAGGCTTTACTTTGCCTGCTTCGCCTCCCGGCGTCATCTCGAGTCGACCCGAGGTTCAGGCTGGCTCGAGGACCGAGGACCTGCGTGGACGTAGGAGGCACCGGAACTGGTTTTTCTGGTGCTTTCTGGAACAGGTCTGTGTGGCATGTACGGCCTGGAAGAGACATGGAACCTGAAAACCATGCCTGAGTAAAGGAAACATCGGTCTTCCTTGGGATGGTCCATGTCCAACCCAGTTCCTTCCATGGCTCTTTTTCCAGGTGTAGAAGCCATGACGTCCGACCTTGGGAATCACAAAGGGGCTCGATTTTGCATGTTTACCGCCTCGGGGGTATCCCCTCTATTGATCAACAAACGTTAAACCAATAGGCCATCTATGTGTAGAAGGTATAAGCGAAAAGTTCACTTCAACAAAACACATCTTCCACTTCAATGGTGACTTCTACAACTTCCACTTCTGAGTCCCCGAAGCAAATACTAGTAGCAGAATAGCATGTGGATACCTCTCGATTCAGGTCTGACATGTGTGCGGAGCCAGCAGGTCAAAGAGTCTGGATGTTGGTGGTTTCGCAGTCACATCCCGAAGAACACACACGCGGCGCACCCATGCCGCGTCGCACGAACGCGCACCCGGCCGCCTGGAACCTGCCCTCACCGGGAGTCCCTGCGACAGATGACATCGTGGAGACTCGATGAGGAGGATGAGTCGTAGATGAGGAAGTGGAAGCTACAGGTTCCAACGTGGGCTGCGTGGGCTGAAAGGAGTTGAACTATACATTGACTATATGTGGTTCCAATTTGTACGTGTCCTGTGGACATTGTTGTGAACCACCAACCAGTGACTGATTTGGAGGGTCATGAAAACACCCGTTGATTGCGTTGTGAATCTTGCTTAACCCCCATGACTGCTTCATCATCCAAAACAACTCTGCGAGCCGCTCGTGTTTCTCGAATTGGTTGAAGAGCAATCCGCTCGTGTTTCACCCATCGTTTTGGGGTGAAATCCATGGCTGTAGATATTCCCGTCTCACCAATTCGAACTTTAAGATGTGAACCACCAACCAATGGTTGGGCCTCGGTCCCAGCCGCTGCCAAGTATCTTCCCCCATTGGCGGCCTAAAGGACACTAAGATGGCCATAAAACGTTTCTCCAGCCAACTCCAACTTCTGAGTGAGCTTGAGGTGGTTTCAAAACCACCTGAATCCAGTGAGTGGGTATAGAAAATGGGGTTCCCCCATCCTGGACTGTATTCTGGACCGCTTACTGGAGCTTTCTTCTTTCTGTGTTGGTGTCATCAGAGTCCTAACGCATCACCAGTACCAAGGTGGTCAAGGTGACATCAGGAAAGTTGTGGACACAAATGGAAGAGAAAGGTTGGATGTTGGAGGAACATTGCCTTGGCAAAAGATTGCCAACAAGGAAGGACTTGGACTATGTCGGAAAACTGGGGAATCCAAATGGAGGACTGGCTTGTTGATGACACTCTCATCGACTGGCAGGTCAAAAACGATGGCAACAACGGCTCCGGGGCCCCTGGCCGCGAGGGGGACCTTCTCCTGACGTCGAAAAAAAGGATGAAAGAGAATCACCAATTGTCCAAGAAAGAACCACAGTAGGGATGTCTTCGCAGCCATCTCCAGCAACATGAGATAACATGAACATGCACCTAACATGGGAACTGTCATGAAGCTTTCAGGCCCATGTTCTGCTCCTCAAACCGATTCTGGTCGCCATGTCGTTTCGGGCCGAACGTTTCGGGCCGTTTCCCCGGCCGAAGACGGACGGACCGCTTCGACGGTTCGGACCGGGAGCCAAGGAGCCTAGCGCTTTGGGAAGAGGAAGAGCTCTTCCCAAAGCGGATTCTGAGGCTGGGAAAGAATGGACAACAAATATGAAAACATAGAGGAAAAATGGATTCACACATAGAGAAAATGACACTCTATAAGCAACAGCAAGGGTCTAGTCACAATGCTGGTTTAACAGAGTGATCTTTCTGGGTGTGCGGAGAGCCGCCACGTCAGGCTTTGGGAGCAGGACACCTCAGGTCCTCTTAAATACATGTAGAATCATGTATATACATATCATGATATATGATAACATACTATAGCTTGTTTGGTGTTGATGTTGCTCATGAAAGAAAACAACAGTTCTACTCAGCAGCTGCAAGCTGCACGGGTCACTGTGCAGCTTAAAGAAACAAGCATAAAACTAAATTGTTTAACGACCTTTTCACAACACTTGGTGTACATATACAGCATACAACTACGCAATGATGCCATATGTAGCTATAGAAAGGTAACAAACATTCAAATAGGTTTACTGTATATTGCATTGCACGCAGTAAAGCTTGGTGCTCGGGCCATCTAGCAGAATTCCAAGAAAAATCAACTTATTAAAGAAAGGGAAAACACACCGTAAGACAGCACACCTGACAATCTTACCTGATATACCGTATAATGATAGTATAAGGTCAAACTGACGATGAGGACCCTCCGACCTCAGCTCAGGACCTCCGACCTCCGTGGCGACGGCGAGGCTCTCCGCCGCGGCGACGGCGAGGCTCTCCGGCGCGGCGTGGGGGAGCGACGCCTGGCGGTGACGGTGTGGCGTGAACCAGACACCGAAGCACTCCGTGTCTGTCGTGTGTGCCGCCCCATTGACCCCGAAAATGGCCCACCCCAATGTAGGTATATATCATACATGGAGTGTGTGGGATATGTCGATCCACTGCCACCCTTTGAGAAGGTGATGTGTTCAACTCTTCGATGTAGATTATGTAGGAGGAGGGATGGTCCGTAGATAAACCGAACCTGAGAAGGTGGCAGGTACATGGCTCCCTATACATATAGGGATGTGTATCAAGATTTAGTTAAAAACAAAAAAATACATATGTAAGAAACCAAATGGCACTTGATGAAACCTGGGGATGGTTCCGACTCTGTAAAGATGTTGCAGGAGTTTATGTACTTGTACATGTAAGATATATATTATAAGGATGCGTTCAGAAGGGAACAACATGGTTTGTATGCGTATTAATGTTGGGAACAACAAAAACACATCAGATTTCCTAGAAGCCTAGAAGTGGAATTCATGATTCATGACCAATTCATAGTATAATTCTATATAATTCTATACATACTAAGGAATATGGCAAAACAGTGCAAAACATCTTGAACCCTACTTCGCAAAAACAAATAACGTTTTGTGCTTATACCATACACTTGTACCAAACCCTCACTGTTGACCAAAGTGTCCAACGTTCTGCCTGGGTGGAGTGCGAGAAGCTGACGGTCTCTTCCTGGACCTGGAAGGATGTACCGACGGCACTAAGCAACCAATCCCAGACTATATCGCATAGCTGGGTGGGAATGGAGCTCCTCCACTTTTCTGTATTCACATATGATTGATGGTCAACACCCCGGAACCCTGGTTGACTGAGAATGAACAGAATAGACCACCAGGGGAGGTCAACCTACCAGGGTGACCAGGGCTCCGGGTTTGGACTCACAGCCGTTGGAGAGACCGACCAGCGGATGGTCAGGGGAGAGGTCTGCCCACGGAACCTCTTTCCATTCTGACAAAAACCATAGACGTTGTCCAATCCTCACATCTATTGAGTGGATCTTAAGAGGTTTCTTAGTTTGTTTAATGGTCTTTATCTTGGCTGTGTGGTGATTCCCTCTACAAAAAGAGTCTGTAGTTCAACCGGTCCAACCAAGAATTCCAAGAACTGCAACCCTTATCTGGACTCTCAGAATAATTGAACTCTGTTTAGTCAGAGTATCCGCTTCTTGTTTGGGTCATGTCCCGGTTACAAGCTGGCCTGACCAAGGCAGCCATGTCACATGCATCATATCTGGAGCGAAATCGATTGTTCAAACAGAGCTGGCATGCGGGAGATTACCATCCCAAACCCATGTGCAACGCGGAAAAACCTTTCAATTTATAACCCGTTGTTTGTTGACAAGCAATATAGATCGATATTGATCACAAGACATCCTGTCTTCCTCTAAAAACATATAAATAAAGCATATGAATCACCCTGCTTGAGATGATTTTGACAAATTGGTCAACCCTTTAGCTTTATGTTGGAGCCGTTACAGTACTGCCATTCGCGAAAGAGTTATTTCAATTGTAGCTGCCTTCAGAGTTGCGGCTCACGTCACATTCCAAGCAGTCCGCCCTTCTCAAAGAAACGAGGGAAGAAATTGGGCCAACGGATCAAAGGAATTCCCCCCACATCCTTTGAAGGACTATAAGGAAAATGCTTGGTCCAAGGTGTACAGTTTGATGTGCCTCACGAAGCACCTTCATCCCCACGCAGCGCCTCATGCAGCACCTTCATCCTGGTGGACCACCCATCACATGACTCCACCCATCTCCACGGTCAGCCGCGTCCACATGTCCCACCTGGAGCGAGAAGCTGGGCGGCCTCCACGCCGGCCGCCTACGGCGCAGGGTCCGCATGAAGGACGGTGCGGCGGCGGCTTGTGGTGAAGCAGGTGGAAGCAGTGAGGAACAGGTCAGTGGCCTGCAGGTCAGTGGTTTGTCATTGAATGGGCCAACAAGGATGCCGAGGTCCTGTGTAGAAGTCATGTGAGACTGCTGTACCTCAAACAATCTCAAACATAGTATAGGTCTTGGTCTTGGGACTTGTAGTTTTCTGATCGTGTATGCCACACAGATCGGTTGGAACCAGGAGGATCAAAAGGGTTCACCACCTTATCCAAGTGTGTTTATGCATCTCCAGGGAGGCATGGAGGATGCAACTATTTCAGCAAAGCAAAGGGTCCAGTTCTAAACTCCAAACATGCACATACAGCACATGTTACAAACATTTGGACTCATGAACACGTCAGTCTAACCACAATACAAGGTCTGACTCTCTTTTGATCGCGGACCCCGCTGCGAGGATTAAACTGAGGTTATGGAAGCATCACAACCCAGACAGCAAGAACACTCATTCTCAGGACTTTCACCAAAGCCATGTCTTGCAGCTAGGTTGGGTATCCGAATGAATGCATATAGAGGAATATCTTACTGTTCAATCTATTAGGGGCGACAGATTCATCAATAGAGCTTATCAAATTCGAGTTGATTGACCTCGGTAAATTCCTCAATAGAGGATTATCAATAGAACGTATTGTATTTCTTTGACCTCGAGTTGATTTGCCAGTTGTTCCACCGCCTCCACCTCCACCTCCGCCGTTGCTGTCCCCTGCGGGAAACACATTGACCTTGGAGCAGTGGGGCAGTTCCATGCGCTGGGAATCAGTTGAAGAGGGTACTCATTGGTCCTTTATGTTCAGTCAAACAATGGACAGGTCATAAAACTCCAACATATATATATATATGTAAGCGGTCAGCACAGCCTACGTCTACCTCAAGTCCAGAGGACAAGGAAACCTACGGGGCTCTTCCTATGAAGTGGCTGTGCGACTTCGAACTGGCCCTTGGACAGCTTCTTTTGATCCACTTGACTGGTGGCGGTTGGACAGCAAACTGTCACAATGCTCGCATTGCATGCCACCGGGTCCCCTTTAAATGCAATCAAGCCACTGCGTACTCTTTGAAAAAGAAAAACACAAGCGAACCACGAAACAGCGCGTTTCCAGGTCCGGGACTTCTAGTTACTGTCGTTCTGTTGCTTGTCTGGTTCATGTTGTGAGGTGATGTTGTTTGTCAGTGGGTCTATGTTCTGTTCCTTCCTCTTCTTGGCGGATGCCATGTTGGTGTCTTGGACAATGCGCCACTTCTGGTGCATCTTGTAGAACAGCTGCAACTGTCTCTGCTCGTTCTTGGTCAGCGAATTGCTCAATTGGGCGTCGCTGTGTACCCATCGAATAACCACTGCATTCCTTAGCTGGCCATGTTTCAAACTCATCAGCTCGATGTCTACTCTTCGCTCTGTACCTCGGGTGCATACGACCTCAGTCTTCATCTTATCGTATACGTTTCTCGAGTCGGTTATCAAGCAACCTGGAACGGTGTTCACGGCTTCGTTCACGTGTCTTAAATGCATGGGTCTGCCTATCATTTCGGACCATTGAAACCTTGCAAAATACAAGGCATCTTCAGCATTTACTGCTGCTGCTGCTTCACTCGCTCCGGGGCTTCTGCAAACCCGTTGAATACGGGATGAGTTCCAAGCAATCGGGGAAACATGTTCACAAGCTCCTTTGAGCATGTTGAGGTGTGAGGCACCTATGATATAGCCTTGAGTACTACTGCCATCAATCCGGTTCTGGTTTGCGGCGTCACACCAAACAAACAAACCCAGGGAGTCCAAACGGAGTTTGGGGATCAAGAGTTTGTGGTCTTTCATGGCCTTCACTTGACACATCAGCTTGTTTGCACGATGCAGGGTCTCTACGGTACTGCGTGAAACTTCTGATAGCAATAAGCTCGTCTCTGCTGAGAAGTGTGGTGCTGTCTGTTGTGCCAACCAGCTGACACCTCCAAGCAAGGTTCGAAGTTGTCCTTTCTCCCAGTCATCGGTTTCGCTGTGTTTGTCTTGTTTTCTATGAGCTCGAATGTTGATGTACTTCAGCTCTTCAATGTATGCTTCTTGGGAAAGTGCCTAGGTTCCATCTGCGTAGCGTTCAACCTTGATGCCACATTGTGTGAACTGTTCGCTTTCCCAATCTGACCATTTGTTTTGTCTCTGTATGGACTCCAAGACTGACTTCCAGGCTACGTTATCTTCATTTCCTGAAAAGACAAAGTCATCGACATGTCCTGATATGATGCCTTGAAGTTCGTTCTTGTCCACAAAAGTCCAGCAACATGGGTCTGACCAACAACGTCGAAGTCCCAATGTATGGAAATATTCACTGATCGATCTGTACCACTCAAGTGGCGCATCTACCAGTCCATAGCATGCTTTTCGAACTTTTGTCATGGTCTCTGGCGCTAATCCCATCGCCTCCAGTATCTCTGGACATGGGATGCATAGCAACTCATCTGGGTACTCTCGAGACTGCAAAAAGGCTCCAGTGACATCACCCTTGCGGGTCTGGAAGCCCTTGGATGCCGCTATGGTCAGCTGTATCTGTCTCGTCTGCCTGGTGGTAGTTGGTGACGTCGTTGCTCGTCCTTCATACATATAGGGTCCTGATAGCCAAGCAACACGGCTCTTGCCTTTGCCTTCCGACCACCATCTGGCAGTTGCTTCCAGATGAGGATCCATCTCATCCTGACTGCGTCTTCTCTTCGAGCTCGGTATCCCTTCGGCAATGCTTCAAACGCCTTTGCGGCAATGAAGTTGGAGACCTCCACTGCTTTTGCCTTCTGGAAGGCGATGCGTTCTTCTGGGGTCATTCGCTTCTCTGAGACTTCTATGGTCTTTCTTTTCATGGCTGACACCAGAAAGGCACTCAGGTTCTTGAAAGCTCGTTCTGAAGCTCCTCGTGTCTGTGGCATGTCAATCTCAATGGATACTGCTGCGGTCTCTTGTTGCCAGAAACTTTCTTCCTCTTCTGTGAGAAATGCTGTTTCTTTGACTTGTTGGACCATGTTGTTCCCGACTGGAATCCACACGGTGGAATTGTGCCAGCATGTTCTCATCTGGGGCTTCATGGAAGTCAACTGATCGCCTCAACCGGCTACTGGCAGATCCTTCTGGACACACGTCTACCTCGTAGTCTGGTGGCATAGGTCGTTTGCCTCGTTGTCGAACATGTGGTTGCCATTCATGTCGAGGGTCTCCTGCACGTTGCCATTCACTTTCTTCTGGATGTTCTGACCAATCTTCATAGTCATTTCCTCCCAACTCTTCTGCTACCCTCGGGAAGCTCCATGGTTGGGACCCTTCTGAATGCAACTCGTCTAGGATTTTCTCGCGTTCGGAGGCATGTCTCAACTGTTCTGGACAACATTTCAACAATCTACGGCCTCTGACTAACCATACCGAGGATCCTGCAATTAGATGACCCTGGTCATCTCTCCGGTTTTCTGTAGCAAGGATCCGGGCTGGCCCAACAAATTTTCCATGTGTACTTTTCACTGGTTGTGCATCCTTACCGGTCACTTGTTTCCTCCAAATATACACCAAATCACCTGCTGTAAAATCCAACAAACGATGGTGTTTGGAGTTTCTTGCTCTACTCAATCTTTGGTTGTTGTTCCAATCAAGAAACGCCTTCTCAGCTGCTAGTCGTAACTCTGCTGTTCGCTGGTGTTCTTGTGCTGGGGTTTCTGACAAGAGGTCTGGTGAATTGGCGGTGTCCGGTGTGAAGAATCGTCCTGTATCGTCTGGTGGTCTTCCCAACACATGTTGAATCGGTGAATAACCGCGTACAACTTCTCTGTTGTTGAGGACACGAACACATTCCGACAGGGCATCTTCCATGGAAATATCTGGCATGTCGGAGCATACCTTGTACAGCAACTCTTTTATTGCTTGTATACTGCGTTCACATGTTCCCAACTTCCAGTGTCCTTCGCCGGGAATGATATCCAGGAATATTTGATGTTGATCGCAGTACTCCAGCAACTCCCTACTCCGAAAGGCGCCGTCGGGGTCTAAACGAAGATTCAAGGGGGTTCCAAAATAGGATATCCAAGCTTCTTTGAGCACTGTGATGAACTGTGCGGCCGATGGGTGTTGTTTCTTACCTTTCGTGACGATTCGGGCCACCCGAAACCTACTGGGATGTCCCGCGAAGATCTTATTGGTTAGAAGAGTTATAAATGGTTAGATAAGTTCCAATAAGCTAGTTATAAGCTCTAGTAAGTAGGTTATAACTTCTAGTAATGGTTTATAACCTCTCTAACCACTTCTAGGTTTGAGGCTAACCTCTATAAACTTTATATCGTTTATCTAACCTCTTAGCTTGTTTGTTAGAGGTTAGCC